GAGGCGTTGCTTCTTCTGTAGTAGCGGATCGTAGCTACTGTCTAGGAAGTTGTATTTGGTTGAGAGGCTTTCTGAGACTGTAGGCTGCGTTATACTGCGCTGGAATTCGTTCAAGAACCACTGCTGGAGTTGTTTTTGAGTTAGCTGAGGGTGTTGTTGTGCATATTGACGAAGGGCCTTCCTTTGAGAGACTGAAAGGCCAGGTGTCTTGCGGTCTGAAGGCATCTTTTTGATACCTGGTTTAGCCAATAAATTGATCAGGTTAAGGCAATATAGGCAGGTAAGAGGTTCACACCGAATTTTAGAAGTTGAAGCTGAAAGTATAGCGTTAAAGAGGTTATGTTCCTACGGAATATTGCGTTATCCAGGTTTGACTGTATAGGGTTGTCGATCTTCCAGGAACAGGTTCTCTTTCGAGGACGGAGTTATGTGGTTTGTGGGATTCGATGGAACTTCGCCCCTACTTTGCTCCTTCGTGGCTTTGCCATGGGAGCGGATGGTGTTGTGGAGGTGGTATGGCGTAGAGGGCGTCCTTCGTTCGATTGGAGTTGTTATATCAAGTAGAAGTCTTCTCGTTTTTTCTGGTCATTGGTCTCGTTGTTGTGTATAGTCAACTCTCGCAACCATTATGTATTCATTCATCTCGTATCCTTCCCTACCTCTAGCATTATCGCTACTTTCTGGTTTGGCATCTGGCACACCAACGCCCAACAGCTTTCGACTAGGCAAGAGAGATCCAAATACCGACGTCCTTGGAGGAGCGAACTTCCCAGATCCAACTATCATCAACGTCGAAGGCACAAGCTATGCCTTTGGAACGGTCGACGGACAAGGCCATCAGGTCCCTGTAGTCAGCAATCCAGACTTCAATAATCCTTCGGGCTGGTCTTCCATATCGGACAGCTTTCCCAGCGAAGGTGTTCCCGCATTTGGTCCCAATGGATGGGCGGCTCCAGATACTGTGTGGGCACCAGATGTCGTGCGGCTCACAGACTACGACAGTAGCTTCGCGATGTACTACTCGCCTGCGCTGCAGTCAAATGGCGGGATCCATTGCGTGGGAGTTGCTCGCAGTGCAAATATTGCTGGTCCATACAACGATTCTTCATCCGAACCATGGGTCTGTCCTCAAGAAGCTGGTGGTGCGATTGATGCCGCCGGTTTCCTCGACTCTGACAACACCCGATACGTGCTGTACAAGATCGATGGCCCGGCAGTGAACAATGGCGGATATTGCGCTAGTCAGGACAACATCGTCACCAATACTTCTCTCATGCTCCAGCAGACGCAATCTGATGGCTACACCAAGGTCGGCAGCCCAGTGAGCATCTGGAACAACCAAGGCGTGGAGGACCACTACCAAGCCGAAGCGCCGTCTCTTCTTAAAAGCGACGACGGGACGTACTTTCTCTTTTACAGCACGGGCTGTTACACGGACGGCAGCTATACCACCAAGTACGTGACCTCCACCTCAGGCATTTTCGGCCCATACGGCAACCCGCAGCTGCTGCTCAAGGACGGCGATTTTGGCCAGTTTGGGCCTGGAGGCGCAGACATCACGCTCGCAGGCGGGCAGATGGTGTACCACTCGCTCAAGAACAATGACATCGCCCAAGGGCGCGTGATGAACACTGCCACGCTCACGCTCGAAGGGCAATCGGCGCGAATAAATTAGGATTGGCTGTGTTGAGGGTCGACGGAGCCAATAATGCCAGCGGCGCACTGGGCACCGAGTGCTAGGGCGTAGCGCAGGGTGGTTTAATGAAGGATTTGATTAACGACTTGATGAGGGAGAAAGTGTGTACTTTTATGCTGTACAGTAGTATCGCAGAATGAACGAGGGCATGCTCTCAGTCCGCGCGGTCAAATCAGGCCGGAGCGTCGTACAGCAGCGAGTCGCCGGGTGTCACGAACAGGTGCACGGCAGTGGCAAGTGTTTGGTTGACAGAGCCACATGCACCGGAAATTGGAATGCCACAGCAAGCTCTGACATCAACGCCAGTGACTTTTAGCCCAGATAGCTCGTAGCTCGGTCGTGACCTCACCGACATTGGGCGAATGCTCGAGCCTCTCCGAGGAGCAGCAGCAGCGTTTGGCCATTTTCTGCTCGTCGTCACCATCTCACGCACTGCTGCAACATTACAAGTACCGCGCGACTGCAACCGCAAGCGTCACGGCGAGGATTGCGTGGGTATCATCGACGACTGACTGCCACTGACACCAGGAAGCTTTGCGATATTGGATCCGTGCCAACCGGCCCGACGTCATCGAACTCTATTCCCACGAGCCCACGGCGACGCTGCACCTTGCGGGCATCCTTTGTCCACCACCACGACGCCTGCTGCCGGCCCTGCCCGCTCGCAGCTCGACTCCCTCGTCACCCATTCTGTGCGACAGGGTTGTCCCTATTGCTATAATCCTCGACCCGGTCGCTGCAGAACGTCACCCGACCGACCAGCCTAGACAAGTCGTTAAAGTATCGCCCGCGGAGATCGAGCAAGCGTTGACACCATGTCGGCGCCGTACGGCACAGTCCCACAGCCCAACGTCGCTGGCTATGGCACCCAGGATTTTGCGACCGATAGCAACCCAACAATGAGCTCGCCATTGGGACAGTCCGCCATGAACCACCAGGGCGGCTCGTACAGCGAAGACTATGAGGGCTCCTCCGTCGCGGGAGGCCTCAATCGTTCGGCGTCGCGAGCGTCGCAGTCGTCGACGGCCATTGGAGGCGGCGTCTCACGAAACAACACCCTCAAGAAACGAAACAGCGTAAAGAGATCCGCCAGCTTGAAGCGCAGCGGTAGCAAGCGCAGTCTCAAGGCTGGCAGTCTGAAAGGCTTTGGCGGAGGTGTGGCCGACAGCGAAGACTTCCACAGCGCGTTCTTCACACCCGTCCCAACCACTGGTGCGCCGACCGAAATCCTCGCCAACCGCTTCCAAGCATGGAGACAACTGCTGAAATCGCTCATTACCTACTTCCGCGAGATTCAGAGCTCTTACGACACCCGCGCCAAGGCCCTGCATAAGGTGCAGAACACCATCTCGAATATCAGCCATCCGAGTGTGTTTATGAGCGATAATGGTCTCGCAGATGCCGCACGCATTCTGGATGAGTACCACAAACGTTCCATTTCCGAAGCGAACAAGTCGAAAGAGATCGAGAACGATGTCATTGGCGCGTTGACGGGTCTGAGGAGCGATTTGGGACAGAAGATCAAGGAGATCAAGAATCTAAGTGGCGACTTCAAGAACTCGGTGGAGAAGGAGAAGGAGACCACACGCAAAGAGGTTGAGAAGCTGCAGGAGGCGATACAATACGCAGACCACACCGAGGGCGCACTGGGCAAGGGTGATCCATATGTGGTCAGACTGGGTGTGGACCGAGCCATTGAGAAGCAGATTGATGAGGAGAACTACCTTCACAGGGTATGTATTGCAAAAATATGGATGTTTACTAGACTGACGTGAACCAGGCCTACCTCAACCTCGAAAGCTCCGGACGCGAGCTCGAGTCTATCGTTGTTGGCGAGATCCAGAAGGCTTACAACGCTCTTGCTGGTATCCTCAAGCGCGAGGGCGACGATGCCTACAATGCGGTCGAGAATCTGAGGGCAGGCCCAATCGCCATGCCAAAGGATCAGGAGTGGTTCCAATTTGTAACCAACGATCCACACTTTGTCGACCCAAGCATCCCCATACGCCGTGTGGAAGACATCCAGTACCCGGGCAAAAACCATCCAGCTGCGACCGAGATTCGAGCCGGCATGCTGGAGCGCAAGAGCAAGTACTTGAAGTCGTACACCCCTGGATGGTACGTGTTGTCACCTACTCATCTACATGAGTTCAAGTCCGCGGACAAGATCTACTCGCAGCCACCTGTGATGTCTCTGTACTTGCTTGATCAGAAGCTTGGCTCGCACTCAGAAAGAGGCTCGTCCTCCCACAAGTTCATGCTCAAGGGCAAGCAGTCTGGCGGTATGCACAAAGGCCACAATTGGGTCTTCCGCGCAGAGAGCTACGACACGATGATGGCCTGGTTCGAGGATATCCGCATCCTGACTGAAAAGACCGGCGAGGAGCGAAACGCATTCGTCCGCAAGCACGCTAGGAGCGTCAGTGGAACGAGCGACCGAGGCACGGTGAGCAGCGATGGACTGGAAGAGGATGAGGCAGACGCGGTACCCTACTCCGCCGACGCAGCCAGCCTGGCCGAGCAGAATCCACCCGAGCAAAGGCCGCAACGACCGCAGCCAGGTGAGTGAGTGCTGCCCCCTTCTTGCCTTGCATTGCGTTGCTTTCTCACACTCGTTCACCGTTAGGCTGACGTGGTGATTGTTGCGTTTCATTAGGCGGACGATTCCCGTCTGATGTCGTACTCCGCAAGACGGGCACTATGAGTGACGGCGCGGATTCGGATGATGATGATATCGCTGCGCTCGGTGTAGGCGCTGGTGTGGGAGCAGTCGGAGCTGCTGCCGCCTATGGAAGCAAGGATCCGTACCACATGGATGGGGTTCGTTCGGCGTCGGCATACACGAGCAACACTGCCAACACCTCTGGTGCGGGTACATATATCGATGATACCCCGTCAACCGCACCAGTCCAGACTCAGTCGTACGCCTTGCCCACTGAGGCCGCTCAGCCTGTCAACCAGCAACAACCACCATCGTCGTCTTTTTTAGGGGGAAGTGAGCTGGACCGCCACAACTCATCCTACGGTGACTGGATGGCTCCAGCAGCTGCAGGTGTGGCCGGTGCAGGAATTGGAGCTGTGGGCGTGGATGCATACCGCCGGCATCAGCGTGATGCTGAGGTCCCTCAGACCGATGCCATCGATCATGCCAACATCGCGGCCGTCAACGCGAACAAGGAAGTTGTTCCTCCAGCCCCAGCTGCTACTTCCGCCGGTGTCGGTAATGTCGCCGCCATCCCGCTCGGCGGACACGAAAAGGACGGAGCCCACGAAACCGGTCAATTCTTCCCCCAAGTCGTCAGACACGACACCGACATCAGCGTGTCCAAACTTCACGTTCCAGGCCAATTCCCACGCCAAGCCAGCAGCAGGAACTGAAACGCACACAATCTTCACCTCATAACAGAATGGTACACAGTTCGACGACAGCAGGACAAGAGACACACAGAAGATCTTGGAATATGGCAGGAAAGGGATGGGTTGGGAATTTCGCGCTTTTTTGGTTTGTGGTTTTCCTTTCTGTACACGCATGGCATTGTGATGACCAGCGCTTTTTTGGTGAGCGAGCGAGCATTCCGTCCACGATGAGATATATATATCCCCTAAGTAGTGTCTGTAGTCTCCTATGTGTGGAGGCAATTAATAAGTGTTTCGTTTGCTTGTTGGTTTCGATAGAAGATGGGTTCCTTATCCATCTCCATTTTCGTCTCTCGCCACCACCTCGAATCCTCGCACTGGCATACCATCAAACTTCCATCGTCGATAACACCACCCAAAACTCGCCCTCCCATCCACCATCTCAACCCCGAGCCCTCTCACCCCCTGGCAACCCTCCCCTCCTCACCTCTCCCTCCCTCCACTAGATCCCTCCACTCACCTCTCCACCCCACCCCAACCAGCAACAACCCTCCCCCTCTCCCCCTCCCCAAAACACACGACCCCGTTCCCCAAAGCCCGCACAAGCATCTGCACGCTCCTCTCGCCGTGGAAATCACTCGCCGAACGCAATTTGTCCAGGTCGTTGGCGAATTCTTGCGTCGTGCGGTGGAGGTAGAAGGTTTGGAAGAGGTTGTCCACTTTGGCGTTGTTGGGTTTGGTTGTTGTGGTGGAGGGAGGGGTGGGGGTTGTTGAGGGGGCGGAGGAGGGATTGTTGGAGGGTTTGGGTGAAATTCTTGGAGAGTCTGCTACATGGTCATTGAGGATCTTGGTTTCGTTGTCGTTCTCATTATCAGAGGCTGATGAGGAAGAAGAAGAAGATTCAACTATATCCATCTCGTTAGCAAAACATCCCCTTCGAACATCGAAATTTCACATACCCTCCGTCCTCGCCTTCCGTTTATTCCTCCTCGCTTTCTTCTCGACTTTCTGATTGTTAGGCGGCATGACGACCGCAAACCAATCAATCTGATGTGATTGGCAGAGATTCGTTCGTTCGGTCGTTAATCCGAATTTTTTCTTTTGGACCACACGAGACAAAACAGAGATGGAGTAAAGTCCGAAAGATGCGATCTGATTCGGATCGTGGCGCAGCAGCTGGAGCGGCAGGCCTTGGGCTTGGGCTTGGCGGGGTGTCTCGACATGCTGTTACAGTCTCCCTTTCGCGGTTGATTGAACATCGACCTTTCATCTCTTCAACTTTCATCACGCCATCTCTAGGAGCTAGGCATTGAACGACTTCGCATCCCAGCTCAAAACCCTTCTATTCTCGACAAACAACCTCACCGGATTGACTGGCACGGACCTCAATGATCATTAATTCCATTTCAGACATTAAGGCTATCTCAGACGAACATCTATCGCCGGAAGGAAAACAAAATCATCATCAAAAGCGATCTGGACGCCTGCCCGGACAGGCAACAAGAAAAAAGGGTATCTTCGACGCTTCCCGATCAAAACGATGGCTATCCAAGAAAAGCCCAAGAACAGCCGCGCCATGTCTCGTCACGATCATGCAGTATTATTGCGTGGCTTTCATCAAAGATCGACTTTGAAGCGAAATCCTCCGCTGCTCTTTCTATCCTTTTTCGTAGGTCTCGTAAGTCTTTTAGTCGCCGCACGCATGCGGATGCTTATTATGTGTCTGTCGGTCGAATGCTTCCATCACGACGTCGCTAACGGCTTTCCAGCAGCGGCTCTTTCTTTCCTCATCGCCCAGCCTTTGATGGCGAACACGACGACTTCCCAGCCTAGAATGATACCGGTCAGGCCCATCGAAACGGTGAAGATGGTCATAGCGTCCAAGCCGTTCGACTCGATCGCCCAGACGATGTCCGAAGCGCTGTTCATGAACAGAATGCCACCCGCTGTCAAGCAAAAGCTGGCCACGATCTCGCTCGGCGGCCTCGAAGGGAAGTGCGACGTCGGTGGCTTGAGGTAGAGGGAGATGTATGTCACGCCTCGCGCCAGTGCGAAAGCGCTGAACAGACCTCCCCACTGCGCATGCAACATGGTCGACACCATCGACTGCTGGTGGTGTGCCGACATCATCATGCCCAGCAACATGATTGTGAGCCCCGGCATTGGATTCAATGGCACCCGGTAAGTCTTTGGCTCTTCCCAGCGCTGATCATGATCGTGCGGCTCTTCTGCGGCTCCACCTGCGGCGAAGCGGGAGGCGCCTGCAAGGTGGTCTTCCTTGCTCTTCTGCACCTCGACAGTCGTGTTCAACAAGTCTCGAACCCACTTGGACTCGATCAACATCCCCAAGAGACCGCCGCCGAAAAACAGAACGGTGATGCTGAGATGTTCGAGGTCGGAGGCCGTCCACTCGCTACCCCAGTTGTTCAGATGCTCCAAGAAGACATTGCTGGCACCGTACAGCCAGATGACGAACGACTCTGTGAACTCTGCAGATGGTACCCTCGACTTCCACTTGGAGACGACTGGTCGCTGTGGGCGAACGTTCCAGGCCCAGCCAAACTCGGTGAAAGCTCCCATCCATCTGCCGAGAGTGAGCAGGCCATACCAGACGAAGATGCCACCCTTGATGTAGTGCGCGAGACCAGAGAAGATCTGCCTGTTACGGAAGAGGCCTCCAGAGACGATAAATCCAGTGGTCAGTGCCGCGAAACCCAAGAGCAACAAGAACTTCTCCAGGACGATCTGGCAGAAGCGAACGACCTTGGAAGCGCGCTGTGTTGAGAAGCGACGCACACTCTTGGAGATGAATCTGTCGACCCTGTTGTTGCCGAGGAAGCCTCTCTTCTCCGGCTCCTGGTCCTTGTCCTCGTCGAAGTCGTCGTCGTCGATTGGCAGCTCTGGCTTCTGGTAGACAGAGTCAGAAGAGTTCTGGCGCGAGTGGCCAAAAAGCGACGCCGAGTTGCGCTCGGTTCCTTGGCCAGAATCTCTTGAATGCCTTGGTGGTGTTTCATCGTGAAACTGGTTGTACTCTGCCATCCTTTGAGGTGTCAACGGCCTGCCCTGCTCGAGGGATGCCCTTCGCTTGCTCTTGTACTCGCCGTACGCGACGTAGAAAGACATGATTGTCCAGGCAATGGTGAAGCCCGTCGTCGCCCATCCCAGGCCGTGATGGGCGTTGTTAGGGTAGAGATCGGGTGTTGAAGCATTGTACACGACTGCAGTGAAGACACCGAGGCCATTCAGGATGTGGAAGAAGACCTGCGCTGGGAGATGGTACCTGGACCGCCCAATGCTCAGCATAATCGCCAAGGGCATTGCGATGAACCAGGCCAGGACCATCAAGACTGTATGCGCCAGATGCCATCCGAAGTAATGTGGATGGCGAAAGTAGCTTTCTAATCTGTGCGCAATCGCTGTAGGAGAGTCTGGGTCTATTGGAGTCACCTTGGGACCCTCCATATCCATATCGCCTCCCTCATGGCCATGTGCTGCTACCAGTGGCAGCGCCCCGAGGAGGAGCGCCGCAGAGGTTAGGAGGACCGCGCTCCGTGCTCGCATGGGAGTGAAGCTCTCTCCGAATGTCGAAGAACGATCGTTGTGTAGGTCTAGAGTTGTTGGCGGTACTGACTGCTCTCTAGGCTTCCAGGAAGATCGAGACAGCTGGTCGAGCGAATGCGATTGAAGAGGATGTGAGTCAGCTTTGCAATAGGTGCTCGCTTGCTCTTGTGAGGGTGGGCAGGAAGCAAGGTCAGCTGGTATGCGGTGTGGCAGGTTGGGCGGAAGGTAAGAGGGAGAGTAGAAGTTTCCGACGGTGCAGCAGGCGGTCGTCGGGGATAATAAAAAGAGCTCACCCTTGCAGCATACTTCACAGGTCTGCGCCAGTGACTACATCGACCACCACGACGGCCGCCCAAAACGCCGTGATCGATGCCGCCCGCCAGGCACCGTGGACGGTTCTTCCGCTGTCGGCCCACCCAGGGCAAGGGCTGTGTGTCAGCAGTGGGAGGAGTCAGTCGGTCAGTCAGTCAGTGCGAAGGACAGCCGCACGCCGCCAGCCAGAGAGTGCCGGGCATGGCATCGCAAAACTGCTCACGTTTTCTGACGTCTGCACGCCAACAGCTGGCTGGCAGCAGCTGCAGTCGAGCTGCGAGAAGCCCGGGCCAGCAAGCGTCGCTGGCGGAGCGGCTGGCTGCATGCCAAGCACCCGTCTGGCGTGACGAGCATCCTGGCCATCCGCCGCCTCCCGGGCCAACAAGAGCAAGAGCAGCATCGAATAGCCGGTCGACGAGGACGAGACGTCGTTCAGCGTGCTCAGCAGACGATCACCAGATTGGTCCAGCGATCTGCTGCCATCGCAGCCTGCTGTTCCTCCCTCATCGGCGTCCGTGTGAGGCCGAATCCGACGGCATCGTCTATACCACTTGTGCAAGGTAAAGTTTGCGACCTCTCGTCCGTGGACGTCACCGCTCGCAGTCATCCATCAGTCATCGTCATACCACGATCCCGTCGGCGTATGTAAACGGAGGCATTCCCTCTGTCCATCCATCCTGATGCGACTGTACGTGCTGTGTGAGTGAGTGCACCAGCTGACATTCCGCCTCTCTGGTTCCGATCGATTCGGTGGCGCCAGCAACGTGACAGACCGTCTGACCAAGAGCAAGAGGAACACCGAATCCCGAATGGAATCACCCACCCAGCCCCCAACCCAAGCATCCAAGCCTTCGCAGGATCGCATTCGCACCGTAATAATTGAAACATGTATATGTCACTCTCGCAAGTATTGCAGAAAGAGCTACCCCTCTTCACAACCGCATTGTACCTCCCGCGCATCACGGTAGGGCTGCCTGGCAGCGCAGAGTTGCACATCCCACATTCGGCCGTAGTGGCCGCCCGAGAGCCGCAACAGCTGCAAGCCGACGAAGCGAGGTGCAAAGTCCGGGCGCGAAAAAAAACCACTGCGCCGATCATCTATCCGTACGTGCCGAGTATGGTGTGTCGCACAGCGAAGAAATGTCTTTCTTGTGTGTTCGTTCAGCCAGCCAAACAGACCGGATCGGTTTCTTGGGTCTGACTTTGCTGGCATGTATCTTTCTCACAGGCACCCGCACGTGCGTGAAGAGAGAGATACCCGTCAGAACCCTAAACTCCGCGGGCGCACCGTCATCGTTCACGATCTGCCTGTACTGACTTGAATGCTCATGTAAGCCCGCTTCCATAGCTCGTCGCTCACTCCATGGGGTGGTCGCTTGGTTTGGCGGAACGTGCTCACCACGACATTCCTGTTCCTTCAAAAGACGACGACACTCCTCCTCATGACATCGTTCTCAGCCCGGTTCCTTCGCACCACAAATCCTTTGCCGAATTTGCCTCGCAAAAGTAGTACCGCTTTCGAACATGTCCCGGGGTCCGTATCGGAAAGGCCAAGCCTTGCGAAGCTTTAACGCTGCAGTGGAAGAGGATCGAAGACGGGGAATTGTCGGTTCCCACCATCAATGGGGAAGAATCGCGACTCCGAGGATCCCGGATTGAAAGACATTCTTGCAGTCTCTCACCCGCGAATACGACATACATAATCATGACAAGACCGAAGAATGAATGTAGCCATTGCCCAGACGTATATTCGGACGAATCCAAGAATCCGTAAGACATGTACGAATACGTCTTACAAGAATATCTGCTCCAAGAATATAGCGACGATTCTCGCCTAGATGACTGACATCCCCTGTCAAACGTCTTCCCAGCATTCTTTCCCCGGCGATTTCGATTTCGGTTCCGCATAGCTACAGGCATTATAGAGCAGATGAACGATTAGCCGGAGTCGGATCGCGGATACACGCTCGACCAACCCTCTTGCTGGTTGTTCATGTTAGGTAAGTCCTAATTACTACACTGGGAAGTAGCAACTTTGCACTGCACGTGCTTGTATGGAGGAGTGCGTGTTGGCTGCGCCGCCGTCTTCGTATCTCGACGACGGGGAATGCCTAGTTCTATTTCCTCGTAGGCGGCAACAATTCTGAAACCTTTGAGATCTGGATTGGGGAATAGCAACGTAGGACAAGACGAACGAGCACAAATGCATCCGTATTCGTCTCCTCGTGTCGAAGACAAGGCATTGATCGAGGACAAGATCATGATCGCGGCATGCGGGGACTCATCCAGCCATTCTTCCCACAACAAGCAATTGCGTAGGATGCCCCATCACAGCACAGCCATCCTCATCATCATGAGCACGATTCACTCGCAATCCACTCGCAATGCCCAGAAACCTCCAATCCAGAACGATCGCCAGAGTCAGAACCCCCTTGCACATCCTCGACCAGGCTCCAGCATTACTGTAACACTCATCGCAAAACCCCCTCCCCATATGTGCTTAGATAGCGATAGCGATAGCGATTCGATAACCCAACTACCACAAAAGGCAGTAGTAACGCAGGAATGTAGGATCGAGATCCTGAGCCGCTATACCCACGCCCGTATATCCGCACGGCGTGACTGAAAGCCCTACCCTGTCCTCCTACATTGCGAGTGCGAAATTGCCGTGAGCGGTAATTGATGCTTGCGTCGAGCCACGAAAGACGTACGTATGTTTGCCATATGCCGTGAATTCCGTGTCTCGTGTTTGTCTGTCGGATGGGATGGATCCTTCTTTTCGATGATGGCCGATGTAGGCGATGGGAGAAAGGGGACGGGGACGGGGTTAAGATGATGATGAAGGTTTCGTAGGTAGGATTGTTGGGGAGGGATGGGGCTGTCTTCTAAGAGTGTATATAAATGATAATCTGCTGAACAGCTTCGCTGAAGGTCACTTTATTGACGATGCTGTGCTGTTGAACATCGATTCGATTCCGCGACCATGGGTCTCTTTCGTTCACTGTACAATGTTACTCTCAATAGGCAAAAACCTCTCCTCATGCCAGCGCATCTCCTCTTCTATACCGCTTTAATCGACTTCGCCATGATTCTGCTCCTCAGAACACTGTTTCTTATCGGCGTATATATCAAGCTTGCCCATGGGCCCAATGATGCCCGTCCGGTCGTACAAACTCCTCGCGCGGATGTAAGGGTCTAGCTTCCAGTAATTCACTGCCATCTTCTCTGCGAGTTCGTTCCTTTCTGCCGTCCTGTCTTCGCCTTTGATCCATGCTAGGGTTGCGCTCTCGTAGGCTTTGGTGAGCTCTTTCCTTTCTGCCAGAAGGGGCGCTTTCTCTTCCGTCTTGCCGAGCTCCGCGTCCTCGCCCTCATTGGGTTCAACATATTTATATTCCCAGTCTTCGTCGCCGCCCATTTCTTTCGGTATCCGTGATCGAGGGATCCACTCTTCAAGTTCCTTTTCGTTGGACGCGAAGTGGACTTTACCGGCGACCACGGGATCCAGCCATCCTTTGATGATCTTCCAGATACCGGAGAAGATCCAAGGCGCTTTATATACAAGGACGCTTCCAAGAGATTCTGGGTAGTTGGCTTCGAAGCACTTGATCATGAACTTGACGGGCGTGTAGTCCATGTTGGCCATGCTGAAGTCGGTCATATCAAAGACGATTGTCTTTCACCACATGTCAGTAAATGTATCTCAGTCAAGAGCATACCAAAACTTACCGCAGTGTCAACAGGCGGCCGCAGCATCATGCGCGCCGTTTCTATTGTGTAGACAGTAAACCGCTCCAAGCTCTCCTGGCATTGTTCACCGCCATGATGTAACCTCACTCGCACATAACAACACGGTCTGCCGTCCTTGTCCAGTCCATGGAGGAACGACTTCCCCATCCGCATCTGCGCTAAGAAGTCTTCGCCCAACTTCTTCTCCGATGCGTTGTCTGACTTGCTCTGCTCAATCGCATGGCCCTCTCCGCGTATCATGATGTCGTCGTCGACATGCATGTCTTTTAGTCGCCAGTGCAAAGTTGAAAGTGCCATGACTTGTGCAGCGTGTACATCCCATTTCCTCGCCCGCAAGAATCGCAGCAGAATCGCATCAGGGTGGTCGTGTTTCGTCATGTTCCAGAACGCCTCTTGTATTTGGTCTGGGCTCATGCTCGCCAAAGCCTCCTCGTACTCCTTGACCTGGCCGTGCTTGTCGTTATCGATGCCTACAGTGGGACTCGAGGGCTCCTCCTCTTCCTTGTTCTTCCCTCTCAGACGGGACAGCATCCCGCCCTTCTTCTTCTTGGGCGTGGTTTCTGGCGAAGTAGGCGTCCTTGAAGGGTTCAATGTGCCGTTCGCCTGAGCTTCTGAGACTTCCTCGTGAGACATGCCAAAAAACTCAAGATTCGTGGCCCACATCTCCTTCAGCTTGGTCTCCTGGTCTGCTGTGAGGTTACCCGGCCTTCCGGGGAGGTTGTTGGCTGCCATGGTGTAGAATGCTGGTTCTGCGCCGAGCGCAAAGGCGGGGATGGGAGAAACTTCTTCTGCGAGTTGCTGCCTGGGAGCTTCTTCTTTCCCAGAGTATGCTATTGTGGTATAGGCGACAGCAAAAGAGAGAACGGCGGCGATGAGGAAGGTCCTCGGGTCGATCGCAGAGTGTTTCGCAGAGGTGAAGTGTGGCTCGGCGATGCGCGAACGTCGGTGGCTCGAAGCAAAATGGCGGAGGGAGCTCCAATGCGGTTGCCTGAGGGCTGCTGGTCGGGTACCAGAGAAGAAGCAAAGTGTGCGCTGGTGGTGATGATGGTGGTGCAGGCGGAGGGCGCGGGCGGCAGCGGACATGTAGAGGTGTAGTAGTGATTATTCCGACTGCATGCGTGGTGCAAGCTGACGATGATGTCGTGTTTCGCTGTGCAGCGGTTCCTGGCGGCAGTGAGAGGCTGAGGCTCTTGGTTCCGCCGCACCGAGGGGCCTATACGCGTACAGCACTGCGCGTGGATTGAACAGGAAACAAACAAACAATTCTAACTACAAAGACACACCACTCCATTCGCCATGGCCTCAGCGACGACCACTCCAGTCGACTCTCACCACCGCGCCTCCTCGCACTCCCACTCTCGAAGTCGATCAGGCGCAATACCGTCGCGACCGACAACGCCTCTCCGACCTCCCTCCCGCACAAGTCTACGCGCATCGCAAACCACACCTACAGCAGGCGCAGCATTAGGCGGCAATGATTTCCCGCTCACCACCCTCGAACCTGCGTTTGGCGAGCTCAGCGACGCCATGGCTGATCTGGAGGCCAACATGATGCATCTCCAACTGCTGAACGAATCCATCTCGCGCTTCAATGAGAATTTCGGTGCCTTTCTGTACGGCATGAACATGACAGCGTTCTGCGTCGACTTCCCAGAAGTATGTTGATGCTAGATCTAGGGCAATCTTATTTGGATTGAAAGACTTACTGTTTCTTCACAGGCTCCCATCCCACAATCGTTCACGCGGCACACTTCCTCCTCCAATCATCTCGAGAACTCGCCTTTTCCGCAACGAAGGAATGCGCCTCCCGATAACGAAGCGACCTTCATGACGACTGATACATCGTTTGTCATGAATCCTCCTACGAGCAGTAAGCCCAGCAGCAAGTATAGCTCTGTGCCTCCTTCGACGACGAACTCGAGAGGCGGCGCAGCCTCGGCGAGAGGTCCTGCAGCAAGAGGCAGAGCTGGCGGAAGTGGTATTGCGCGTGGTACTAGTACTAGAGGTGCGAGAGGTGCGGCTGCTGGACGAGGGAGTGGGATCGCGAGGGGCGTTGGGAGAGGGAGGGGCGTGAGATGAACTTTGCCAGACTTCTAATACGTCAATCAAATCAAGCACAGGAATGTTGCCAGACGTCAAATGTGGGGACGAAGGCCATACAGGCCCGGCAAGATATTGAATGTGCCGCAGGGACTAGACACTGGTTCCGTGATTGTGTATCGCAGGCACAAGACACATTCTATGTCCGAACTGGCCTCGATGGAACCAGCACGATAGCAGGATAGCAGGATACGAGCCAAACCACACTCCGTCAAGACGCAGCAGCTGCAGACAGGGCTCACCAAAGACGCGAGCAGCGGAGTCAATGACATGGAGACCATGGAGAAGCAACATTCAGTTGCAGAGGAAGAATACATTCAAAACCTCAAATCATCGCTTCGATTGATACAATCGCTATACACAACAACTTGATCCACAAAAAAGCAGAAGGGTATCGCCATTTCCACCTTCCCAAGCATCGAAAACAATATCATACAACATTCATCGCATCGTCAAGTCGTAGTACATCATAATTATGCGACAGTGGCGGTGTGGTGACCACCACGACCATCAGTGCCATGCATCCTCCTGGTACCCGCAGCCTTCTTGCCAGGACGACGAGTAAGCGAGCCGCGAAGCTTCATCATAGCGCCGGACATTTTGTCGCCCATGCTACAAAAGAAAGTCAGTCCAACGCTATCAACACGCACAGCAGGTAAAGATTAAACATACCTAGGCTTCCTCCTCTGGTGTCGGTGAGGCGCACCCGAGCCCGTGTAATGCGTCTCGTGGTTGCTCGCCATGGGGCCCTCTCCGCCGTGACCGCGGTGTCCGTAGCCCTTGGGGTGCGTCTTGGTCGTTTGGGTCGTGGTCGTGGTGCCGGTGATGGGGTTGGTGGATTGTGAGGTGGTGACTTTGGCTTGCTTCTTGTTGCGGAGGCGGGAGAGGAGGGAGGGCTTCTTGCCCGTGCGGGTGGTCGTTGCTGCTGTGCGGGCCATTGTTGTTGGTGTTGAGTTGGGTTGTGTGAGGTTCTGGTAGTGGTTTGGTTTGGTCGACGTGACTGAGAGTTGTACTTTGTGTATTTGGAGTGTGTGAATGATCCAACTTCCGCGGGCCAAAGATCTATACTATATACCTACCCTATTCCACACCAACCCACACAACGGCACTGACGTCGTGCACGATATTCCAAGTTTCTGCCGCCAGAGTGTGATCGTCCAAGCTTGGTGATGCAAAGGGTCCCTCACTCTCAGTCCCGTTGGAAAACAGACGTCAGAATCCGGGGAAATCTTGCTGTTGAGTTGGCTAGTGCGGGTCCTTCTTAAGCTTAATGTGGTAAGTGAATGGTCAGATGTGGCGGGTGGGATGACGGAGTTGGAAACTGGGATTGGCAACGGGTGTACATGTCTGGTCGATGTGAAGAGCGATGATGATTGTTTTTCTCGTGGCTGACGATGGTTGTGGTGGTTGATGTTCGGACGTTCGTCGGTGCACTCGCATCCAGAACACATTGGGGTCGCCTGACGATTTCGTGATTACTTCTGTTCTCGACATAAAAGCAAAAGAAACGACAACACCACCCCACCCCGTCTCTCTTCACAACCACAGCTCCAAGAATCCCGAGATCCAAACAACCATCATCCTCTCAAACTCAAAAACTCAAAAACCCTCCAGATCGTGGCTGTGAGGCGCAGCGGTATCTCACCGACTGGACACTCCATTCTCGATCGGACACTTCAGCCACAAGATCAGCGCTGATGATGGCGTTGACAGCTGTGGCATTCCATCATAGCGTTGTTTTCGTGGCGCTTTGGTCTGGTCTCGTGGTTTGTTGTCTGTGGTGTCAGTGGGTGTTTGGTTCGGGAGATCGAGCCTTTTTCGTTAGGGTGGAAACTGTGACTGAACGACCATGGCGTGATTGTGAGTGACGCGGTACGGGAATAGGCATGGAAGATCATGCTTGAACGCCAAGACGTCATATGGTGGTGTTGTTTCTTCAGCTTTTGGGAGATGGAGCAGCTTGTCCCACATGTCGACGGGCGATAAGTGTGCACGAGAGAGGAATAGGTAACAAGTTCATCATGGAGTCGTGGCTATTGCTCGTCCTATCATCACCACCCAAACGACCACCCCTTCTGCGCCGTCACGTCCTCTTCCACCAAACATTGCTCCTCAATGGAACTGATGCCCTTCCTCTGCACCCACTCATCGACGACTAGTTTAGCCACATTCTTCCCCATCAACGCATTCGTCTCCATCGTGCTGATAAAACTTTCCATCCCCGCCGTATACCACAGATTCTCCCTCAGCTTGATATCCTCAAACGTGACCCTCGGATACTCGTAGGGATATGAGTTCCAGACTTTGCGGTATATCCAGGTTACGTCTCGAGACGAGATTGTGTCTTCATTGTTGTCGGGGAGGTCTTGCACGCCGAGGAGGTGGGATAGGAAAGTGCTGTTGATTGGGGTTGGGGAAAAGATTTTGTAGAGGTATTCGTCGACGGATGTTGAAGGGTTTGTGATGGGGCGTAGCAGGGAGATGCTGAAGAAACCTGGGCTGCCGACGCCTTTGCGGCCTTTCTCGGGCTCTTCGTCGGGAGGGAGTGTTGTCAGGATGACTTGTGGTGCTGCCTTGTCCGATGAAAGGTTGAAGAAGGCGGGCGAGAGAAGGTGTGGCGAAGTGAACAGCGTGACGTGCAACTCAACGTAGAGCACCTTGTCAGGATTCTTTGCCGTCGTGAGCTCGCTCTCGTCAACACCCAAGGACTTGAGCTCTGAAAATTGGTATGGCGCGGCTAGGACCACTGCATCGAAGACTCCAGATCCAGAACCCGATCCGTCCGGATGGGTGTAGTTCAAGGCGTAACTTCCACTCCCCTGCGGCCAGACTCCACCGGCTTCGGTATCCAACAACACCTTCGCTCCAGACCTCTTCGCCATCTCCTCAAAGATCCTCCAATTCCCTCCTTCGACACTCATCGCACCCTCCGTCGCCATACAGACCATAGCCTCTAGACCATGGATATACGCCAGATTCTGCGCGTAATTCACCCTCGTACTAGCTTGTACGATTTCCCTCCCAAACTTCCCCTCAATCCCATTGACACGCATAAACTCTTCCCCGGTCCTCGTCGTAACCTCGATCAATTCCACCTCATGCGCTGCCTTTGTCAAATCCTCAAACGGGAAAACCGGCGCATCATACATCTTCAAGAACTTCCCCACCGTCTTCTTCATCAACCCTTGAGTCTTGAGCGGTGTAAGTCCATACCTCCAGAACAACTTCGCATAGTCCCACCACTTCCCATTCTGCGTAATTACAATATCCTTGCCATCCCATACAGCCAACGCGTCCCCGGGGATCTTGCTGTACTTGTCATCTTGATCGCTGGAGAAGGTTGATGTGGAGAGATTGAAGTCGCGGACGGCATCGACCAGGATCTTGTTTACGGTGACGAAGATGCTGGCACCGAGCTCGACAGGGAGGCTGCTGTCATTATAGGCGCTGACAGTTGTAGAGCGCCCGCCGATATAGGGGTTGCGTTCGAAGATGGTGATGTTGAGGGGGAGTTCGGCGCTGCGGGCGTATCGATGGAGGTGGAAGGCTGTTGAGGCGCCTGCTGCTCCAGCTCCTATTGAAGGAGGTTACATGGGTGTTTACTATCGACTGGAGTGGGAAGTCTCACCTATGATGGCGATGTTGACAGGCTTGACCTGCGCTTCATTGCTGCCTTGGAGGGGTATTTGCTCTTCACACGCTGCCGTGAGGGAGCAGAGGGCGAACACCGCGCCGGCAATGTTATTGAGCTTCATTGCTCAGCTGGTAGTAGTATTGTTGCCTCTGTGGGCGATGACAATGTTGCTACATTCTTGCTATTGTCTGGAAGAAGGGTTGTGTACGACGTGGGAGCTGCACATGCATGTGGAGCGAGATCCCTGGCGAGATTGCTCGGCGGATCGACAGCGCTGCTACAACCTCACCTTGCTCTGTGAATACGCACAACGAAGTGACCTCCATCAATGAGATACCGTTCCGCGTAAGTCGTTGTTGATACGATGGTAGATAAACATCATTCAATCACGTGTGCTACCCATGCCCTCGACATGCATCGTTCATGCGTCCAGAAGAGGAACCATCCCCTCTCGATGCTGACCTATGCTTACGACAAACCATGAGCGGTCCACGATACGGGACATGGGCTGAATCATCAACTCAATCCTAACCTCACCTGTAGGCTTTCTAAACGGATGTCGCCTCCTGCACGGATACCGCCATTGTCTGATGTAATGTGTTCTGTCATTAATAATTATGTACAACACGAGCGCCGCCGTTCAACAACTGGCCCCATGAGCCAGCTCTTCTCAATTCTATATGGTCTATCGATGATCGTGTGCTGCAGCGCATCTATTGAGACATCCCTCGATCGTTGGCAGAGCTGGCATGGAGCTCAAAGGCTCGTATCGTTGGGAGATGTCGTTTCGTAGTCGGCTCTTCCTGCAGCATGCTGAAGTCGAAGGCTCAGACACACGTGCGCTGGGGCAGAACGAACGTTCAAGCATGCCGAAGCTGTTCCGCTCGATCGTGTCGTGACACCATCGTCCTCTTCCTTTGGGTACCTCATACCAGCTGGCTCCTGTGCCTACTCCATACACTGTCGTTTTAAACATTATTCATTAGACATTCTCATCGATTCTTTCTCAGCCGTCTTCAAAGTCTGCGAGCCGGCTTCAGGGAGAAAAGACGGCACTCGCGTTGAGCACAGCTCTTTGGTCTGCCAGACTTGCCACAGCTTCGCCTGAGCTTTGCAAGACACCTTGTGCAACAACCACGCCGTTTACATGCAGCCTGTGGCTCCCAGTGAAGTAGTACGCCAACCGTTGTAGGCCGATGATCGTTGTCTTCGGGAGGTAGTAGTAGACGGCAGAGAAGAGCAGTGCCAACAGCGAGAAGACCACCATATTGTAGACAAGCTTCTCTCCGGGAGACATGACATACATGCCAGTGTTGATTTCATATTGGTAGTAGTTGAGCTGGAGAAAGTACTTGGTCTCGGAGAAGAGGTTGGAGTGCTTTGGGCGACGCGGGAACGACGGCGGATGGTAGGTTGCCATTGTCGTTGGTAATACGGTTTATTGGTGCTCTTGCGGGTCTGTCGAGTGATGAAGAGGAGCCTGATATATGGCTGAGCTGCTGTTCGAAGAATGCGGCAATGTTCTTGTTCGGCTCGCGTTTGTAGCTGCTCTCGCGAGAAAGTTGGCTAAATGGGAATCGCAGAAACAGGACGCTCAGAACGCTCAGGCGCGAAGGGTGGACTTTGTGTTGAAGGAGAAGATGCCGTCACTCAAACCAAGGCAGAATTGATGCAGAACAATTCATGCAGTTGGCACAGGACAGGGAGAAGCGCAGGGCATTAAGTCCGGGAATGGCTGTCTTCTGCACAACAATCTAACGGCTCAGGCGCATCAGTCAGCGAAGCAAAAGCGCGCGCCCGACCAAAAAACCTTCCGCATCTTCCGAATCTGACGTCAAATTCGGCTTCATCGCAGCGACGCGATCGGTCTCTAAACGATTCGGCAGAGTCAGCCGACCATCAGCAGTCCGCGATATGCGGGCGATGTCGGTAGAGTGGCATTGGAGGTCTCGCTGTCGAAAATGGGTCTGGGTTGTGCGGCAGTGTCGAGGATGTGCCGAGTCGAGGCTGGAAATTATGCATGCAAGGGCAATCCAACCGTCGGGAAAGCAGGATTCAAGCTTTGCTGCCGCTGCTGGTCTGAAGAAACGCTCCACGCACGTGACAGGCGTGGGGAAATCGCGAGCAGGGAAGGCGCACGTCGCGCTAGCCGTTTGTTGACGAGTGTAAACACTGGCAAGTCTTACTCTGCAACACCACCCTCAACTCACCACCGCAGCAACCCCACCGCCCAAAATGTCTGCAGAGTCGCCTGTAAGACCGTCGCGACGAGCGGCGTCCCGGAGAAAGGTCGTTCTGGACGAAGACGACTCAGATGTCGAAAACAGTGTCGCTAGCCAGGCACAGGACGAAGACGATGAAGAGGAGTTCACACCTGCGCCGAAGAGCGCGAGATCGCCAAGGCGGAAGACTGCAGGAGATGCCACTCCGCGACGCAGGACTACGAACGGCCGACGGACGAAAGCTGATGAATCTGAAGCGTCAATTGAGCCTTCCCAGGTCTTTAGCCCTCCTCCCGAGAGCGTAGCAGACGAGCCATCGTCCCCCGCGAAGAAGGCAGCGCCAAAGAGACGCAGTGTCAAGGATGCACGAGCCGCGCGTAAGAGTAGGGCCTCGCGCGTTTCTATAGCACCTGATGCGCCAGAGCTCGAACCCAGCCTTCCCACACCGCAACCAACCGCCTCCCCAGAGCCGAGATCACCGACCTTGCGGCAAGGAACACCATTGACAGATATCACCGAATCAGCCATCAACGAGCAAACGCCGAGACCAACATCGCGAAATCAGACACCTGGCGAGGACGCCCCAGATGCGACAGAGAACCCAGAGACTCCGAAAGCATCTCACAACAACACGCCAACCAAGATGGAAGACGATCTCGATATTGACATGACCGATGTTCCAGAAGCTCCCAGGACAGAGTCAAGAGTGGAAGTGAAGAAGATTGATCCCAACATCACCAAGCTAGAGAGGCCAATGGATATTGTCGTTCGAAAGAGAGCAATCGGCGTGCCGCAAACACAAGAACCCGCCGAAGCAAAGCCAAGAATGACCATCACATACCTCATTTTGACCAACTTCAAGTCATATGCTGGACGGCAGGAGGTCGGTCCTTTCCATGCATCGTTCTCTTCCGTGGTTGGACCAAATGGTTCTGGCAAGAGCAATGTCATCGACTCGCTGCTCTTTGTCTTCGGTTTCCGTGCGAGTAAGATGCGACAAGGCAAGATCTCGGCCCTGATCCACAACAGCGCGCAGTACCCAGACCTTGACTACTGCGAGGTTGAAGTCCATTTCCAGATGGTCATGGATGAATCTAATGGCGAATCCACGGTCGTCCCAGACTCGCAGCTGGTTGTCTCTCGACGGGCTTTCAAAAACAACAGTAGCAAATACTATATCAACGGCAAGAACTCGGATTTCACGACCGTGACGACACTCCTCAAGGACCGTGGCATTGACTTGGACCATAAGCGATTCTTGATTCTGCAGGGTGAAGTCGAATCAATCGCCCAAATGAAGCCCAAGGCCGCGAACGAACATGACGATGGATTGCTGGAATACCTTGAGGACATCATTGGTACATCAAAGTACAAGACGCCCATCGAAGAAGCTGCAACCGAGACTGAGGCTCTAAACGAAGTCTGTTCAGAAAAGAGCAATCGGGTACAGCATGTCGAAAAGGAGAAGAATGGCTTGGAGAGCAAGAAAGACAAGGCTCTCGCGTATCTTCGTGATGAGAACGACTTGGCTTCCAAGAAGTCTGCTTTGTACCAGATTTACGTTGCGGAATGTGGTGACAACATTCAAGTCTCAGAGGAGGCTATCGGTCAAATTCAGGAACAGCTCAACGATGAGTTGAACAGGCACAACGGGGCCGAGGAAGAGATCAAGGCAATGGAAAAGCAGCACAAGGCTGAGTCCAAGACCTACGAGAAGATGGCCAAAGAAACGCAGGCCCTGACAAAGCAAGCCAACGATCTCGAGAAGCAAGCCGTCAAGTTCGAAGAGCAGAAGAAACATCACAAGAATAAGCAGAAGAAGCTCGAGAAGACTCGCGATACATCTACATTTGAGATCTCCCAATCAGACACTCTGGCTACGCAAGCTACAGCGGACATCGAACGGCTCTCTGGCGAAATAGAGGACATCGAACAGGAGATGCAGGCAGAAGATCAGGAGTTGGCCAAGATTCGTGAATCACTGAAAGGCAAGACTCAAGGCATCAGTGACGAGATTGCTGCGAAACAGAAGCAACTTGAACCATGGAACGCCAAGATAAATGACAAGCAATCTTCGATCGCCGTCGCGCAGAGCGAATTGGATATTCTGCGAGAGCGAGAGAATGCCGGTGCCACGGCAATTGCTGACGTGGAGGCTAAGATCGCAGACCTTCAGGAGAAGCGGGAAGCAAAGGCTGCGGAGATTGAAGAGTGCAAGAAGCAGCGCAAGGCAGCTGAGAAAGAAGCCCAAAACGCTCAGAAGAAGCTCGACGATGTGGCAGCGAAAGAACCTGCTCTGAAATCAAAGCTATCGAATGCTAGGCAAAAGGCAGATGAAGCACGAGCAAGCTTGTCGGCGACACAGAGTCAAGGCAATGTCCTTGCTGGCCTCACTCGTCTCAAGGATTCCGGGCGTGTCGAGGGTTTCCATGGACGCCTGGGCAATCTGGGTGCAATCGACGCCAAGTACGACATTGCGATCTCCACAGCCTGCCCCTCGCTCGACAACATGGTCGTCGAGACAGTTGAGTGTGCTCAGCAGTGCATCGAATACCTGCGCAAGAACAATCTCGGCCGTGCCAACTTCATATGCCTCGACAAGCTACCGAAGCGTGATCTGTCCGCAATCGAGACTCCGGACAATTGCCCTCGTCTCTTCGACTTGGTCAGGAGCAAGCATGAGCGCTTCCGACCAGCCTTCCACAGTGTACTGCAGAATACGTTGGTAGCGAATGACTCTCAGCAAGCCGACCGTGTCGCGTATGGTGCAAAGCGCTGGCGTGTGGTCAGCTTGGAAGGCAAGCTCATTGATAAGTCCGGTGTCATGAGTGGTGGTGGCAACAGGGTCGCAAAGGGTGCCATGTCTTCCAAGGTCGCTTCCGACACCACCAAGGAGCAAGTCTCGAGGCTCGAGGTGGACCGTGACGGCCTTGAGGAAGAGTACGCTTCTCTTCAGCAACAACACCACGAACTTGAGAGCCATGTCAAAGAACTTCAAGGCCAACTTCCCAAGCTTGATACTCAGGTGCAGAAGCTTGGACTCGAACTTGGCAGCATTGATCGCAATATTGAAGATTCTCAGAAGCGCATCCAGGAACTGTCGGCCGAGCAACAGACAGCGAAATCCGACAAGAGCAAGCTATCTAGTCTCGAGAAGAGCATCGCCACCATGGAGGAAGAGGTTGCAAAGCTCCAATCAGAGACAGAGGGCATCGAGGCTGAAATCAAGGAGCTTCAAGACAAAATCATGGAGATTGGTGGTGTCAAGTTGCGAACTCAGAAAGCAAAGGTTGATGGGCTCAAAGAGCAGATTGACGCTCTCAATGACCGACTGAGCACCGCCGAAGTATCCAAGACGAAGGCCGAGAAAGCTCGAGCGAAGCACGAAAAGGCACTCGCAGACGCTGAGAAAGACCTCGAAAAGATTGCCATCGAGCTTGAGAAGGTTGAGCAGGATGGCAGGTCACAAAACACCGGCTCGTCTGAGATAAGGAGACAGGAAGAGGAGGCCAAGGTTGCGCTTGATGAGAAGCAGACTGAGTTGGAGGAACTCAAGAAGCAGATCGATGAAGCAACCGCAGAGCTCAACCAGACGAGAGGTGCAGAGGTCGAGATGCGAAATCAGCTGGAGGAGAACCAGAAGCATCTCGCGCACAATCAGAAGCAACAGAGACATTGGCAGGAGAAGCTGAGCAAGCTCACGCTCCAGAACGTCAGTGAAGAAGGGGAGGAGAAGGAGCCCGAGCCAGTGCCTGAACTCTCCCGCGACGAGCTCGAGGACCTGGATAAAGACGATCTCAAGGCACAAATTGCGTCTCTCGAGGAGCGCACCTCTCAACATGTTGAGTTGTCCGTCTTGTCAGAGTACCGACGTCGCGTCAACGAGTACAACAGCAGACTTGAAGACCTCAACTCTGCCCTGACTGCTCGTGATACGGCCAAGAAGCGCACCGACGAACTCCGCCGTCTACGACTTGAAGGTTTCATGGAGGGCTTCTCGACCATCTCGCTTCGACTGAAGGAAATGTACCAGATGATCACCATGGGTGGTAATGCTGAGCTCGAGCTCGTCGACTCTCTCGATCCATTCTCAGAGGGGATCCTATTCTCTGTCATGCCGCCCAAGAAGAGTTGGAAGAACATTGGCAATCTATCTGGTGGCGAGAAGACCCTCTCATCCCTGGCACTAGTCTTTGCGTTGCACCATTACAAGCCTACGCCCTTGTATGTCATGGATGAGATTGACGCCGCCTTGGATTTCCGAAATGTCAGCATTGTGGCGGCTTACATCAAGGAGAGGACGAAGAATGCCCAATTCATCGTCATCTCTTTGCGCAACAACATGTTTGAGCTTGCATCACGGCTTGTTGGTGTTTTCAAAGGTATGTTCGTCCCGGTCGTGGTAATACTCTCGAGTCAGTGCTGATAGGTTTTCCCAGTGAACCACATGACGAAATCTGTCGCGATTGAAAACAAAGATTACATCGTCCCCCGTGTACAGAATGCAGCCGCATAGTCGGCCTTAAAAGGATTGTCGATACGATTGTGACGCAGGCGTTGTTTGGGAACGAAGTCAGAAGTAAACCTGGCCACTGAAGGTGATGATGTCCGGGGTTCTTTCAGGGTTTATGGGGGCTGAACAGTATCAATGCCAAGCTTTTCTTCTCGGCCTCACTTCTCGCACTTTTTGCGTATCAGCCTCAGCCCTACGGAAGGATTTCATAGGTATTGTGGCTGCTAACGAGCCCATACACGACTCTGTGAGTGAGAGTGATACGACGGTACGGTTGAGCTGAATGAATGCAGCCTTACGAGCCCTTGGTAGAACGAAATCCTGCGTGGACAGGAAGGACCCTGCTCTGCTACGCTTTGGGGGAATGCTTGCCGCAGCTTTGCTGGGTCTTACTTGAGACGTTCTCTCTCGGCTTGTCTGTACCATGATTGGCATACTTTACACCCTTCTGCGTACTCGCTAAGCTGGCGATGTGATTGATAGCCGAGCGATCAGCTGGCTCACTATGGACGTACTCGTTTCCCCTTTTCGGGCGCTCGGGCTTGCTTGATTTGGAGACACTGCGAGAAGTATCTCGATGGAGGCTGCTGTCGCGCGGCTGAGACGAGACGAGACTGAAGCGAGGAGGGTTACGTGAACGTGCTGTGCTTTGGCGAGAGGGCGGTAGGTGGTGATTGTGTTTCCTTTATGTCTGATGTCTTCCTTCATCCTGATGTTCTCTCATTGTTCTCCCCCCTTCCTTCACCACCGCTCAAGATGACCACCCCACCACCCCTCCGCATCACAATCATCGGCGCGGGCATCGCCGGCCTCACCTGCGCCCTCGCCCTCCGCCGCAATGGCCACACCGTCACCCTCCTGGAGAAATCCACCTTCCACCAAGAGACCGGCGCCGCAATGTACGTAGGCCCCAACTGCTCCGGGCACCTCATGCGTCTCGGCTGGGATCCGCCTTCGACAGGCGCGAATCTCTGCGAGGGCGTGCTTTCGATCGTCGGTCCGACCGGCGAGGTGAGGAATAAGATGGGGTTGGAGGGGGTTAGTAGGCAGTGGCAGAATCCTTGGTTGCTTGTGCATCGGGTGGATTTGCATGCGGAGTTGAAGAGGTTGGTTACTGAGGAGAAGGGGGAGGGGAGGGCGGTGGATTTACGTTTGGGTGTGAGGATTGTGGAGGTCGATGCTGAAGCTGGGAAGGTGGTGTTGGAAAATGGGGAGGTGTTTGAGAGTGATGCGATCGTCGGCGCGGATGGGAATAATTCCATCGCCCGCAAGAGTGTGGACTCCAGCGCGGTGCTGAGGCCTTGGGGGAAGAGCTGTTATCGCTTTCTTGTGGATCGGGAGGTCTTGAAAAGGGATGAGGAGACGAGGGCCTTGGTGGAGGAGGATGGGTATTTTTTGGATGTGCTCGCGAATGATCGCAAGTTTGTGGCGTATCCTTGTAGGAGCAATACGGAGGTTAACATGGCGGTTTTCTTGCCGGATGACCAGACGGAGGGTCGGGGTGATGGTGAGTTGTTCACAGGTGCGTGATGAGAGGTAAAGCTGACGTTGTGGGCGTTCTAGACTGGGATCAGCAAGGTAACAAGGCGAAGATGATGAGTGGGTTCGCAAGTTTCTACCCTTCAGCGAGGAAGTTGTTGAGTTATGCGGACGAGGACTTGAAAGTTTGGCAGTTGGTCGATATGGATCAGTTGAAGAGCTGGAATGCGGGACGATTGGCATTGATTGGCGATGCAGCTCATCCGTTCCTGCCATGTGAGTTGTCACCTTTTCCTGAAAGACGTTTTCATGTCGACTGACACTCGCTAGTCCTCGGTCAAGGCGCCGCACAAGCGATCGAAGACGCTATCTCAGTTGCAACTGTTCTTCAGTTCGGCACGCCGGCCTCGGATGTGCCTGAATTGATGAAGTTGTACGACAGCATCCGAAGAGAAAGGGTTGACTACGTCCAGGAGCAAACCAGGTTGAATGGACTTGATGAGGACAAGGGTCGACCTCCTCCCAGTGCGCTCTTTGGGCTGTTGGATTATTGTCACAAGTATGATGAGTGGACGAATACAGAGCAGAAGCTAGAGGAATGGCGGCAGGGGCGTACGAATGTGGTGAACGGGGTTCAATCTTGAGAGGGAGAGCGTCGAGTGCAGTGACACTTGACGTCTAAGATGGTCATATGCTGAATACGTATCATGCAGATCGAGCTACAAATATTGTAACGGCCAGAGTTCTTCAAGACACGAACTTTGCAAGCTTGACCGATCACGCCTTCTTCTGCTTAACAGACCTCCACTCCATCAACGCACTCCCGATCAACGTCGCTCCTCCCAACGCAACAGCAAGATACCACGTCTGCGAAAGACTTTTACTCACCGCCGCAACCGCATCCGCTCGCTGCGCCGGGGGAAGACTATCCAAAATTCCATGAAGACCACTGCTATCGAGTCCCGGAGCGGTCGTCCCAGGCATGGAAACCTTCAGATTCGCAGAAAGCTGGTTGCTGAAGATGACTTGGGCCACTGCAATGAATAGCGCTGGGCCGAAGTTGCCGCCGAACAGGATGATGGATGTGCCGAGCGATGCGTCTTCTGGTTTGAGGACCGTGCGAGTGGCATGGTTGGGTCCCATGTATCCAATTCCTGTGGTGAGACCCACGGCGCCAGAGTAGAGGATGAGCTTTGCCGAGATGGTAGCTGGATCGAAAGTCGATATCAGGCCGGCGAAGATCGGCATGCCGATGGATGCCACGAGCATGAAAGGAGTGTAGTATCCCCATAAGCTGGTCCCCAAGCCCAAGAGAACCGCTCCAATGCTATCGCCGACGGTGATCGGGATCATCATGAAGCCGGCTTTTGCGGGAGCATAGTCGCGGACGACCTGGTAGTAGGTTGGGAGGTAGTACGAGAAGACGTTCAGGACGCTGTTGACGCCGCTGCTGAAGATGAAGCCGCCGATGATGCTCCTGTGTTTGAACAAACGCAGTGGTAGGGCGGCGCGGTCGCCTCGTCGGTGTTGATTGTACAGGAATGCGGTCATGCAGACTCCGAAGGTGACGAGGAGGCCGACGACTCGCCCGTCAGACCAGGGATATTTCACGCCGGCCCAGGAGAGAGCAATGAAGAGACATGTCAGACCCGGGATGAAGACCGCGTTGCTCACAAGGTCCAGCTGGAAGATCTTCTCCTTCAACGGCAGTTCAAGATCCTCCCTGACCAAGATAGGATCCTGCAAACAGAAAAATGAAATCAACAGCGCAACTCCCGCCACAGGAAGATTAATCCAAAAGCACCACCGCCACCCCAGACTCTGCGTCAACGCACCGCCCACGATGGGGGCACTCACAATCGCCACACTCTCGAGAGCACACATAAACCCTATAAACATCGGCCTCCGCCTCGGCGGGAACACATGGAACGCATTCAATCCCGACAGAATCCCCGCGAAGCCCACTCCCGAGATCGCCCTCCCAACGATAAACATCGCCGAGCTCGTCGCCGTGGCACAGATGATCGAGCTGAACAGAAACGCCGCATTCGAGGCCATGAAGACCTTCTTCACGCGGAAGAACTTGTACAGTTTTCCGAACATGAACTGGAACGCGCAGGTTGTGAGGCGGAACGCGGAGCTGTACCAGCCTACGTCTGCGGATGTGTGGAATTCGTTTGTGATGGAGGGGACAGCTGTCGCGACGATGTTGATGTCGAGGGCGCCGAGGATGAGGACGGCCGAGATGGTGAGGACTGTAAGCCAGAGCTTTGGGCCGTGGGGGTATTCTTCTTCTGGGGGTTCTTCTTCTGCTTCGTCGTCGTGGGTTGAAGTCTGGTCGTTGATGGATTCAGGGGCGGTTTCAATGACACTTGAGCTTGCCTCGCCGAACTGAGGGCGTTGGAACTTGGAAGCACGATCGGTCTTGCCGACGACGGTGATTTCTTCACTCGTCGTGATTTCTTCGGTTATGGTCGCCATTTTTGTAGCCTTGCGAGTAGATACTCGTTCTCAAACTCTGAAGTTACCCCTGAAATTATGAAATGCCAGCGATCGAAAGAAAGTACTGTGAGAAGTTTGGACGTTCATCGATGTGCAGAATGCTTGAAATGCTGCATTTTCATGTTCCCGAGCAAACGCGAGTATTGTTATAGCTACGCCTACTTCGACCTCGGCCAACATCCGTAGCTGACCTCGGAAGGATCGCATTCACGAAAGGCTATGTGCCATACTCGCGACTTCAGCCATATGTGCAGAGGCCCTGTTCCACATTGATAAGTGATGCCAAGAGACTTTGAGCTGAATGTGATTGTGCTTACCGGGGCAATGTAAGTAAATGAAGCCGCCGTCAAACAAAATGAGACCAAGCACTTCTATCCCGCACCTATCGACGAAACTCCTACTCTAGTCTATCCACAACCCCGTCTATCAAACTGGTACCATCTATCCTTCGAATGTCGTCAAAGTCATACACATATTGCGTGCTCTCCCCGCCCCTGTCTAGCGGCCTAGCACAGGCATACTTAGCCCGGCCCTGTCACCGCCCAAGCTCTGAATCATAGTCTTCCTGGCGAAGGAGGCTATATAACTAATGCGCCTTGTGCGCGTGCAGCACCTCCATCATACTTCTCCGGAACCTTTTGATTCTGCTGGAACTACTCTTGGTGCTCAGGCTCTTCTCTTGGAAACTGGGGCTTCGGCTTTCTGCTGTGGGCCATTCTGATATTGGTGGTGGTGGTGAGAGCAGGCCCAAGGCGGGCTTGCCGAAGGTCTCTTGCTTCTTCAACTTCTTGGGGGTACGTTGTTGTTGCTGGTTGCGGTTTTCTGTTACGACTTCTCGCTCAGAGACTTGCAGGACGCATGCAGTCACTTCCTTCCGGCTTGGTGAGAGGCTGCTAGGGGTCTTCGGCGTCCTCGGTGGATCAATGAACTCGGGCAAAACGATGGGACCGCCCTCTGCATATGTTCGATCGACGTACGTCTCTTTGATGAACTGAACGAGATGCTCGCAGTCGTCTTCGTTGCTCATCGCTCCAAGGCTGACACGGACGACGCCGATGGCTTTGCCGAACAACTCTGAGAACGGCTCGGAGCATCTGTGGCCTTCCTCGTAGGCGTCCTTCAGCTCCCTCGGTGACCACTGGAGGTGGGTAGCCAAACCACCCGGATTGCACAGCGACCCGCTCCGCACATAAATGCCTCGACGATCCGCTTCTTTCTCGACATCGACGAACGAAACCAGACCACCAGACGCCTTTTGGATGTTGAATGCGATGGTCGCACCCTGAAGATGCGACTCGCCATAGATTGAGCTGGGATCCTTGTACACCCTCACCACCGGGACATTGTTCGAATGCCGCAGCGCGATGAGCTGGTCGTACAGCATCTTACTGAGTCGGCAGGTGTGCATCGAAATGTACTTCATCGGAGCTTGGCCATATAATCTACGATGAATGTCGATTGCCAGGTCGAGAGCAAATATTGCCGTGAAGGGTAACGTGCCGTCTTCTAGTCGGCTGTGGAGCGTCTTCTTCTTTGAGTGCCATGCGTCATTCACCGCGATGACCATTTCAACAGTGCCGCCGCCGAAGAACTTGCGACTCATGAGGGGTTTAGAGGCGGATTTTTTGACGAGGAGAGCACCGAGATTGGGGAACCCGAAGATCTTGTAGAAAGAGACGGAAACGAAATCAGGCGCGGAGTTGACGTTCGAGAGATCGAGCTGAGTCGTTGAGACGTACGCGGCAGCATCCAGGAGAGTATAGACATCGGCTTTGACGCGGTCTCGAATGCGAGCGGGCCTTCAACGCATCAGCAACTGTTCTTTCGGCTTGAGAGCACGCCACGTACCAATCCAAGGGTAATCACCTACCGTTCATATTGGATTGTGCTGGGTACGCGAAAAGACCAACATCATGAGGCGCAGCTCCACCAAGGCCTTTGCTGTCGATCCACAGGTCCACCTCGCGATCACTTCTGAAGCACCTATGCATGCGCGTGCCTTCTCGAACCCCAACGACGGACGTGTGCGCATCTTTTTGATAGCCGTACCACCAATTCCTCCCTGTTTCTGCTGCATGGTCTCGGAAGCAATCGTGAACAAGCTTGATAGCCGCGGTTGCGTTGGCGACGAAGACGAGGTCCCATTCTTCTGGATCGGCATTGAAGAAGCTCAGTGCTTTTTCTCTTGCGAGCTCTACTCGGGCGTCTGATAGCTTTGAGGGTGTTGATTCTGAGTGGGGATTTCCAAAAAGGTCTTCTGTCATGAGCTGTGCGAACTCGGTGGTGAGAGACTTTGCCCATATCTACGATGCCAAGTCAGCAGAGCGTGAGATCAATGTCCACGAGAACGTTCTACACACTGTCGTTCCGGCATGATCGAGGTACGTCTTTCCAAGAAGCTGCGGATATTCCAGTAACCTCAACATATCCATGCCGTTCTCGATCGGACTTCGTGAGTCTCGTTTGGTCCACCGCTGTCGCTCCTCGCTAACTTTGTTGGTGATATAGTCTGCCATGCTCAGTCCGCGGGTGTGTGAAGGATAGGGATGCTTGTCGAAGTTTGCTGAGGGAAGTACCTCTTTGTCCCTTGTCGCGCTCTCTTGGTGGATTCCTGCATTGGCATCATGGTCTACCGGCAATGCTAAAGTAGAGGCCTTTGTGGGGTTCGAATAGTCCAGGGATGTAAATGCGTTGGCCAACTATACACGGACAGGTAATTGGTCCAGGCACTTAACGCAGGCAACGTTACGACAACATCCTGGAGACCCCTCCTGACTTCGTCGGCTGGTCTTCGACGGCGTGCCAGTGGACAACATGCCGTCACTTCAAGCTCAGCGGGTGATGACCGGACCGGCGGGTACTTGTGCGCCGGTTCTGTTTGCTTTCCGGGGCACGAAACACACGGCCCTCTTTATGGAGACATGCGGGCCAACTGTTCTCCGGTTGACCAAGGCCCCATTGCCGACAGTAGTGCTCGTGCACGTGGAGGAGCCGAATGATCCAATCAATATATCTGGCAGAAGTTCCTGGCGGTTGGCATTCCCATAGATTGCTTTACCCGCTCATGTACATTGTGTCCACTTTCTGAAGTTGGCACATGGCAACCACGATGTCGGACAGACACAAATTGTCAAGACAGGCATCGCCGAGCATGCTGTAGGGAAGACCGCTCTCGGCCATACCCATGCAGGACTAGGCGATCTTTCTTATCCGCGCGTTGTAAATCTCCCTCCCGCATCGAGTATATCAGCCGCGATGGGAGATATGCATGCGTACAGCCGGCGACACAAGACTGCGTATGTTTCAGAGGAGCAATATCGCCGAGGATTGGCCACCAGGCTTGGAGATTGCTAGGTCAGTGTCGCCGCGTTCAACGGCATTAGCAGCTCACAGCGGACTTCATTCGGACACCACAGGGAGTTTGTCGTTGTTCGTAGGGGACCTCATCTCTCGAATTCGAAGTTGTAGTTGCATAAAGATCAATGTTAATGCTATATTGAGAGTGCGTATAAGTTGATCGGGCGCCAGGATCGTGCTTGGGGAGGTGAAGTCAAATTTCGGCGGGATAGGAGCAGGTTCGCTCTTTGGCGAGACGTCGGCACTGTTTATTGTGGGCGCAAACCATCGAAATGCCGCTCAGGACCTCCACCATGAAAGGCTCGTCGGTACATCTTGAGGTTCAGGCGTGAGAGGACCAGCTCCGCTCTGTGCGAAAAGGCATTCATTCAAGGGCACTATTCAACATTGAGTGCTGCTTCAGCCAAACAAACCTTGCGAAAGGGAATAGGTTCGAAGCAAATGGATGCATACAGCGTCGCACGAGGCTGTCTTGTCGTGTTCGGTAGCTTCACGTCCAACCGCGATCCGACTGATGCTCTTCAATCAGTTTCGCCCGGAACGTTCGTTCTGCTTGCAATGTGTGAAATTTCTCCTGTTGGGTGGGCAGGGTGTATTGTAGTAATGGCTGAAGCGTCCAGGTCGCAGCCTCATGGCGGTATCGATGTCTTTGGCAACATTGATGTATCGGTAGGACACAAGTAAGCAGCGCGCCTCCCGAGTGCCATGTGAAAAGCCAAAGTCTGAACTCAATTTTGACCTCACCTCCCGTACCAAGTCATGCTCCGGACCCAGACTTATTCTTCTTCAGGTGTGATGATACACCCTGGATTTCAAATCAGAGCCATAATTGCATTCGCCGCTGCTCAGAACGCCCAAGCGCAATCTTTGCATTCCAATGCTGAGTGTTGCCTCCCACCAACCACGGAAGGAGACATGCAGCCTGGCGACGTGACACAACCCGCTTCACCCTGCATACTTGCCTGGCCAAAGTGGGGCAGCCAGCATCGCACATAAAAAGTCTTTGACTGCATCTTCATCATCAATTCGTTCCATACCATCAACCTCATCATCGCCAAGATGGGTCAACGACACCAGCTGTACGTGATTGCCAAAGCCGACGGCCGCTACCGAACACTCGCGGCCCTGCATAAACAATGGTCGTATTCCATAGGCGCCATCGCAAGGTGCCAGCTGGTGATGCAAGTCTTCCGCGCCAATGCTTCGCTGGTGAAGCAGGAAATCCAAAAAGCTGAGAAGCTTGACTGGCAGAAAGAGGTTGAAGCAGAAGGCGTGAAGGGAAGCCTCTCGGTGTTTTCAGAGAGTGAAACCCGACTAACGCAAGCAACAGGAGCGCGAGATGAACCTTTTGTTCCCCTTCATAGCCACGTGCCTGATCGTTGGTGCGGGCGACAAGTGGCTGTTGCCAATCACGATCGTACCCACTGATGGGGACAACAACGACGGCATTACGGTACTCGACATCACCGATCCGGACATGCCACGATATGCCTTTGTATCTCTCCCAGTGAGCGAGCATGACGGATCCGTCCAGCGTATGATTCCACAGGATGCCATCGAGTATTTGAAGATCTACCGAGATAGGGAGGACCCCTTTACTTCCGAAGACGAAGATATCGCGAAAGACGTCGCTGCGTCACCACTGATCGATGCTGAAACTCTGCAAAGTGCATGGCCAACACTGAAATTCCACGGAGGGCTTCTTCACAGACTCAAGAATCTCAAGTGGCCACGAAGCACGGAGCCAAGTGGCACTAGCAGTGGCACACCTTTCGAGACCGGCTCCTTGAGAGGCAGGACCATGCGCGAGGTGATTTTTAAAGCACTTGATTGCAACCCAAACGAACTCTCGTGGATCGAGGAAGCCGCTTCTCTCCCAGACTTTGATGATACGCTTCGCACAACGCTTTTCGAGCAGCCGCAACTTCAGGAGAAGCCATCAGGGGTGGCGCTTCTCACGCGTGTGTTAAAGAAGGCACCAGAGGTACATGTAGATCTCAGGCCGTTCTTCACGTTGAAACCAGCTCAGGTGCTGGACATCATCCAAAGCCTGGACCACAGCGTCGCTGTTTCGCTGCCACCGATGCCAGATCTTACTCTTGACAATTTGCACGAGCTTCTCCAGACAGGCAAACTTCGTGAGTTGCACATGGGGGACACTCCAAACCTCGGGCTTCAGGAGGCTTTGGACGCTATTTCTTGCAAGCAGTTGGCTGCGTTCTCCCATCCAAGCCTCTATCGCCTTCCCATTGAGCTCATGTACGTGAGTCCGGAGCGACGGGAGGAAAGACTTCCCAACTACCCAATCGATACCGAGAGTGGCTTCCCGGTCTCGCAGCTAATCTTCCTGCAATCCATGGAGCCCCACGACGCTGTGAGGCCGTGCGTCGCAGGCGGTGATGAGCTGGCGTGGACTAAGATATCACCACCAGAGGCACCAGGTAGATGGAACGGGATGAGTCCGCTGGAGGGACCGATCGTTATTCCCATCACGCTCAGAGACTCCCTCCTGTCGTTGGATCGAGTACTTGAACAACTTCCTGAGATTGTGGCAGACTTGTCAAGTCAGTTGATAATCGACCTGCGGGGATTTATTGGCCTTGCAAGAGCCGGACAGGACGCGGCGACAAAGCATCTCGCTCTTCGTGTAAGTACATAGTGAAACTCTTTCGTTCGAGCGACATTGACTGACAATACTTCAGCGCGACAAACGTTTATTACCAATTCCGGCCCGGTTGTACAACACGTACAGAACGTCTGGGCTGTCCAGTTGCGAGAGGCCGCCAGTAACAGAGGCCGTGAAGTGCGGGGAATGGTCATTGCTCGCCCTTCACGAAGCTCCATACAAGGAAGCCTTCAGAACCTCAGAGTCGGAGATACGATACGCTTTCGTTACGTTGGACGACAATGAACAGCTTCTCTCGGTTTCAGTCGATGAGTTTGTGCGGACGCTATCTTCCAACGAAATCTACGGCTCTGGAAACTCGGACGCTCGAGCAGAATTGGTCCGTAGCTTCGAGGAACGAATGGCGGGGACGTGTGAGGGCCAGACGGCTCGTGTGAGCCACACTGGTCTGTCCGAGGTCATCGAGGCGATGCGTCTAACGGACGTGCATCGAGCGCAGGTCGAGGAAGCCGATGAGGTCCAGGGCAAGTTCAGACGACACAAACGAAGAGAGTTCGAAGAGTAGCTTCGTGACTGCGTATCTTGCTATGTGCCTGTTGGGCTAGAGCGCAGTCCAGTCTCGTCAACTGGGATGGGGCAGAGGCCGGTATCGAGTTGATCGAGTTTCGATGATCTGTATTGTTCCGCATGTCGTGTCCTGGTTTCATGACAGTCCCAGCGCTGAGAAAGTACCAGGATACCCTCTGTTAACGCCGTTCGCAGACATCGCTGTCGTTGGCGCTCGACGAGCAATTCTTCATAACCAGAGGCGCTGTGTTTTCGCACGGTCGGTACTCTAGGCTTTCAACGTCCACTGTGTCATCCTCCAAAGGTCGCCGTGCCCATGTCACTCATTGCAAGTCTTCTGAAAGCCGGGCGATGGTGCTTCCGGCAACAGGTCTTCCATATCAATGGTAGCCACACATCGACCACCCGATCATCCACGCGACAATGCCCTCTTTCTCATTTCAACCTCACCATATTCTGCAACCTCTTAACAAAGCTACTCAGCCACGATCGATTCGGCAGCTCCTCTAACTCCTTCTTCAAATTCACGTAGTAATCCGGATTGCTCGCCGGCTTGACCAGCTTCTCCTGCAGTGGAAACTGCTTGGAGAAAGTGTTGTCGAGAAGGAGATATGCTGCGTTGACTTCTTTTTCTTCGGGGCGGTATGGGACAGGTGGGTTCTGCATGCGTGGTTGGAGGACTTTTTGTTCGAAAGTTCGTTCGGGGCGGAGGATGTCTTTGGGCCAGCGGGCGAGGATGCGAGCGTAATGGGCGGCGATGAGCTGTGTTGGGTTAGAGGGGAGTTGAAAGGAGTATTGGCAGATTACTGACCTGTCTAGACATTTTGACGGCGTATATGTCAGGGAGAGAGCAAGTGAGGAAGTTGGATGTATCTGTCGGAATCGAAAGCATCATCGAAGTCGAGACGATATGTGATGCCTCAGGCATTCACGCTTGAACTCCGCGGTGTCATCCCCAATAGGAAGGGACGGCCTTGAATTCTTGAGGTGACCACTTCACGTCGTGTGATCAGTCCATTGTACATTGTAATGAGGAGACTACGCGTTCTGAGGGTCAGCAACCCATCAATGCTGATCAATCAATGGCTAATCAATTTGTAGGCGTCCTCAGCGCAAAGCCTCTGCATCTTCTGCGCTTGTCGACTCGGAGTACAGGTCCCTTCATCTCAAGTTGCTCCTTTAATACAGTCTACCCCCAGGAGAGACCTTAATACTAGAGCTACTCCATTACGACAGAATGCCCCAGCCGCGACCCCGACGAACGATCATGGCCCCGCGAATAGCAGCACTCCTTCATTCGCATTCGATCCCAACTCAAGCCTCACCTTTGCCGAACAACAAGAGAAAGCTCGACGAATTCAGTCACAGAGAGACCACGAAGCGAGAATTCAGCAATCGAAACAAGAGCATATATGGCGCGAAACGGAAGCAAGACAACAAGCAGCCGACCAGAATGCCTCCAGAGGATCTGGTGGAGCTGTCCGTGGAGGCCAGCAGAGAAGAGGCGAGAGAAGAGGTGGATGGCGCAATATAAGCGACGATGGAATGGATGCCTCAAGTGGAGGCGTTTCTCTGGGAGCTGCGATGAGAGGAGGTGTACAAGGCGAGACGCTGGGACAGGCCATGTCTGGGCAGCAGTCGAAAGCCCGAAGCCACGGTCGTACGAATCCCAGTGAGAGCCCATCGACGGTCAGAAGACTTGTCCTGGGCGAAAGGAATCGGTCTGACCAAGACTCTGCCTTCCGAATACGGCAATACGAGTCTTTATCAACGGAGCCGTCAAGCACTTCGAAAGCGGAACGTGCACCCAAAAGGAAGGCAATGCCAAGTTTCCTTAACTCTTCAGCACCTATTGCAGCGGTGTCAGAATCTGCTGTTGCGTCTGATTGGAGTGCTAGCGAAAATGAGACTCTCCCAGTATCTTACGGCACTGCGGCAGACATTCGGAACCCTGCTATAAGAGATACGCCTGAGCCATATTTTCCAGAATTCGCCGACGTAAGGGATGCGCAGGGAAGCTCACAAGATGATAATCCGCCGTTGCGGATTCAAAGACGCCAAGGTTCTGATATGATGCGGTTCAGGCCAAGGGGTGAAAGGCCGGAGGCCCCGTCAGGAGAAATAGAGGAGACACTACAGCAACCTTCTGAGATCTTTTCCGAATCGAACCACAACGAGAGTCCCCCTCCACCATTGGACAAAGCTAGTGGCGGAACAGATTATCGATCATTATCACTTCAGGACGAAGCGCCAACTGTCTCACACTCTTCTGAAAAGGTGCAACAGCAAAGCGCAGAATCGGTGTCAAGCGAGCCAGATTTCATTCCTGCGTCCAATCTGGGATCCTTTGGCTACTATGAAGATCTGGAGACCACGGAGGAGCCGCAACCACACCGACAGAAAAGTCCTCTTGATATACAGGAACCACCGGAGACAGCCCAAACACACGACGAGCGATCGCAAGCTAGTACCAAGAACCCACAGCCAGCAAGCCCTGCTCCACCCCAAATTCCAGCAAAGGCGACAAGGGCGGCGTGGGACGACTCTCAATTCTTTGGGTTTGGCATGGAATCAGATTCGATAGATGAGCCAGAGCAGCCCTTGACACCGACTGCCAGTGTTGGAGCTGTCCAGCCATCCCTGCAGTACACCCAACAGAGCCTTAAGCCTCAAGCACGAGAATATATTGGCAGCGGCTATCTTACATTGCCGTTCGACCCCAACGAGTACCAAGAGGAAAGCTCGCCAACGGAAGTCGACAACTCTGGGAATTGGCAGCATCTCCGAAAAAAGACATCAGAGCCGCCACGGCCTTCTCAGGTGCAACAGCATCATGCAGCTCCGCCGCCGCCGCCGCAATCGTCGAGGTCTTTCTTTGATGATGAGGACTGGGTGGATCGCAAGTTCGAGGAACACCTGCAGAGTCGACCCTATGCGCCACCGTCAGCCCAAGCCCGGGGTGCGACTGCCCGTGATGAGAGACCATTGTCTGACCCAGCAAAGCCCAAAAGCGCATTGAAGTGTGGCCGCTGCGGTGAGAGAGGCCATATTGCTAGGGAATGCACTCAACCTCAGAGTGCCACATGTCGTCTCTGTGGTGGCAAGGGTCATATTGCGAGAGAGTGTCCGGTCCAACAGACTTCACAAGGCAGAGCCCAGCTCCGGCACATAGTTGATGATCCATACGAGGACGAACGATCACCCCGGGTGCAACAGCAGGCCAGACGTCCGAGACGGACCGTGAATTACGACGATCCCTTTTCAGCGCCGCACGTGGAGCAAAGGACGCTGCCTGAGCGAAGAGTGTGGCATGGTAACACGCCGGACTCTTACGACATGTCACGTCGCCAGCGTGACATCGGTGATGGAACCCGACGGTCGAACCCCTTCTCTGCGTCAGAATCTGGTGTGCGAAGTGATGAGAGGAATCAGCGACAAGGGGACGACGTATTTGGCAATCGGGCCCATGGCAGAACACAGAATGGACATGATTCTCGCGTGACACCTTTCCAACCTAAAGTCCAAGGTGAAGAGGCATCACGGCGTCAAGAAGCCCGAGTGTCACGTCGAAGCGAGAGGTGGGCAGACGCGGAAGACCATACGGAGTTGGATCGGTCGTCGAGGTTTTCTAAGGAGAAGAAAGACCGCCGTGGCGGCAGAAGAGACTTTGACGAAGACAACGATGAGGAAGTAGGCGCCCGCGAAGAGTATCGCGCTCGAAAAGCAGCACGACAGGCCGAGGAGACAGCAGCAAGACAAGCCAAGGACAAGGTCTTCAAACAGAAGCGGGAAGCTAAAAAGGCCACCCAAACAACACCCATCACGCTTCCCGAATGGACGAGCGTACAGCAACTTTCGCAGCTACTTGGCGTGCGCTACGAGCAGTTTGTGGAGCGTCTCGAGGATTTGGGCTACGATGACATTTTCCCCAACAAAACTCTTAACTCTGAGATCAGCGGCATGATTGCCATGGAATACAACTTTGAGCCCAGCTTCGATTTCGAGGGTCGCGAGGAAGACCAACGCGACCTTAAAGCTCAACCTGAGCCGGAAGACAAAGAGGCCCTGCCCGTGCGACCACCCGTCGTGACGATCATGGGGCACGTTGACCACGGAAAGACTACCATACTCGACTACCTGCGCAAGAGTTCTGTTGCTGCAGGCGAGGCGGGTGGAATCACTCAGCATATCGGTGCTTTCAGCGTTCCTCTTGCGAGCAGCGGCAAGACAGTCACCTTCCTTGACACTCCCGGACATGCTGCTTTCTTGGCAATGCGTCAAAGAGGTGCTAACGTGACCGACATTGTCATTCTTGTCGTTGCTGCTGACGACAGCGTGAAGCCACAGACGCTGGAAGCCCTTAAACACGCCAAGGCGGCTGGTGTACCCATGATTGTTGCAATCAACAAGGTTGACAAAGAGGAGGCAGATATCCAGCGCTGCAAGCAAGATCTTGCCAGACATGGCGTGGAGATTGAAGATTTCGGCGGCGAGACCCAGGTCGTTTGCGTCTCTGGCAAGACTGGGAAGGGCATGGATGAGCTTGAGGAGAGCGTCGTCACCCTTTCAGAGATTCTTGATCACCGTGCTGACACCGATGGAGCTGTCGAGGGCTGGGTGCTCGAAGCGACCACGAAGAAAGCTGGCCGTGTTGCGACTGTGCTTGTGCGCCGTGGTACCCTCAAACCAGGTTGCGTGCTCGTTGCTGGCAAGACTTGGACACGTGTGAGGACGTTGAGGAACGAAGGTGGCTTTGCGGTCCCCCAAGTCGGTCCTGGTATGCCTGTTGAGGTTGACGGGTGGCGAGATCAGCCTGTTGCTGGCGATGAAGTCTTGCAAGCCGAGACCGAGCAGCAGGCCACGAGCGTTGTCGATTTCCGCGACGAGAAGGCAGAGCGTGAGAAAATCGCCGAGGACACCGAAGCCATCAACGAGAATCGACGACTCGAACAGGAGCGACGAGAAAAGGAGAAGGCTGCTGAAGCGGCTGCTAAGAGAGTCGCCTCGGTATCCCGCGAGGACGCCTCCATCTCTGCTTCTGTCCCCGGAGCCGATGCAGAAGAACAGCAATCCGGTCAGGTGACGGTTCCATTCATCATCAAAGCCGACGTCTCTGGTTCCGCTGAAGCAGTTTCTGCCTACATCATGTCCGTGTCCAACCCGCTCATCATGCCGCAGATCCTCTCTTCTGGTGTCGGCGCCATTCACGAGTCAGACATCGACCTTGCACACGCAGCTCAAGGGCACATCATCGCCTTCAACCTGCCCGACGATCCTGACATGAAAGCTTTGGCCGAGTATCGCGGTGTGAAGATCTTGGAGAACAATATCATCTACCGTGTCTTGGATGATGTGAAGGCTGTTCTCGAAAACAAGCTTCCACCAATCGTCACGCAGCGCGTACTCGGCGAAGCCGAAATCGCCATGGAGTTCGAAATCGGCGTGGGTGGACGAAAGAAGGTGAAGATTGCTGGTTGCAAGGTGCGGAACGGCGTCGTGAGTAAAGGAGCGAGAGTGAGAGTCACGAGGATCGGGGAGAAGGTTTATGAAGGTCAGTCCTCGCACGCAACTACTACCTACTGCAGAACATCGCTAACATGTTGACAACAGGTACCATCAACTCTCTCAAGAACGTCAAGAAGGACGTCCAGGAGATGCGCAAGGGCACGGAGTGCGGGATGGGTTTCGAAGGATGGGAGGGCTTCGAAGCCGGCGATCAGATCCAGACGTTCGCGGAGATTTCGGAGAAGAGGAAGTTGTAGACCGTGGCTGGCTCGCTGCTCTATGTATATATGGGTAAGAGGTGAGTTGAAGCAGCGTTGAAAGGAAAGTGTATGTTGATGTAGAGATAGAAAGGTATAGGCGGGCTGTTGTAGGCCGCTTTTTGGGCGCGGACGTCTTGACGTCGATTTCGTTTCAAGGCTTGGAGATGATTCAACGCCGACCACGTAGCTATGGCGTTCAGCAAAACCCAAGCTGGCGACATCCTCCTACCGCTCTCGCCACTGTTCAAGTCAACTCCATGCTTCGCCGTGCTACGATCAAACAACGTCGGCATGGACGTTGTTGGGCAAGGCTTCTTCCTCCCCAGCTTCGACATCCTCAAGACCACAAGGAGGAGTGCCGTGAGCAACAACGCCAAATGCTCCATATTTGACGTAGAAATGGTCCTGACGCTGGCTATTGCGGATATCATGCGTCTCGTTGGACAGGACTTTGTGGACCTGGAGACTTATGATCCGCCGGGGAAGCTTCGGCGCCTAGATACGTGTGCTGTTGATCGATCAGAAAGGGCAGCAGCGCCTCTCTTTATTGAGGACGATTCTTTTGAGGAGGGTTGAGATGGATACGCGCTCCAAACCGCAGCTTCGATTACGCCCAGCGCTGGGCGCAGTGCTGGCCAGGGGGGCAAGTGGCCATCATTGGTGGTCTCAGCAGTGTTCCACAGCATGAGGCATGGCAGCTGAGCAACTGCCAACAGCATGTGCAGACAATGACTAGATTGTGTTGCTCCTTGAGCGGGTGGGCAGACGCTGTCTCCAGATCCACCACCAACGTGCCCCATTTGACCTCGACGAAGATGTCCGGGGAGCCAGTCTCGCTCATCAAGTATGACTTGCTATTGTCGCAATTGCAACGTATGCGACTCATGCATGCCCAAGAAGAAACGGCCCATTGCAGCGATGTGGAGCATACAACGCTCCAATCAGGTGATGATTCTCTGGCGATGTTTCAACATGAACCGCTATCGCGGCCAGCCCGACAAGTCCGACTATTACGAATTTCCGAAGGAGATGATGATGACAATTTGACCGTCGACTTGATCACATCGGACTTGAGCGAAGCCCCTGGATACTTTGCGGTGTCCTACACATGGGGAGATGGACGGCAACACCAGCAGCTGAACGTCAACGACAAAGTCATGTCTGTTCGACAGAATTGTTATTACGCTCTGTGGCAGATTCACATGAAGTATCCAACGCAGCCATATGTCTGGATAGACTCCCTTTGCATCAACCAAGATGACCTAGAGGAGAAAGCCTTTCAGATACAACTGATGGAAAGGATCTTCATACAAGCAAAATCCGTGCTTGCATGTATCGGCCCTCACGCTGACGATAGCGAGTTGGTGGTTGATGCTGTGCGCAAGGCTAAAAAGCACGATCCGAAGGCTGCTAGGGCTGCCAGCTTAGCGACCGTCCATTTCGAGGACTCGAACAAGTTCCGCGATTTCATGAATGGGGAGCATTGGGAGACTTTCCTTGAAAGTATGGACAAAGATTCATTGGCTAACCTCAACGCCGCCTTCCAGAAGTTAACGCGAAGACGATATTGGAAAAGGCTGTGGGTCGTCCAGGAGATCGCCGCCTCGAAGCGTGCCGCCCGCGTGTTGATAGGGGAAGACGACCTGACGTGGACAGACGTTGACCTTCTTCTCCAACTCATGAGAGAAGTCGGTCGACATGGAGTTAAGAGACACCTATGGAAATCCGCCGGCAAACAACAGTGGCAGCACCTCTGGATACTGAAGACCATGTTCCACCTTCATGCTTGGAGTCTTTCCCTGGCCATTTCTTTCACATGGGACCGGGAGTGCCAGGATCCTCGTGATCACGTATACGGCATCCTTTCTCTGGTGAAGTGGACGAAACCACCGATTCTACCGGATTACATCAAGTCACGGTTTGATGTAGCGATTGAAGCCATCGCTCACTTGGATCAGTGGTTTGCCATATTTGCCACGCTGCATTTTGTGCGACTACAAGACGACGCAAGGTGCACGGAGATGTTTTCTCCCTGGCGTCAGACATGCAACGGCGGGCAGGAGAAGACAGACGTGCCACTCGACCCTTGGCAAAGTGAGCGGCTCGTTGTCGAATTGAATGGAGACTCGGGCTGCACTCATGTTCTTGCGGGCGAAGATGGCGTTCTGACGATTCCTATCATGTACGCTGAAGCATCGCCCCCAGAGACAACAGAACTGAAGAACCGAATCTCAGCCGCGTACATGAGCGCTTTCCATCAATGTATCCGGGAAGGGCTATCGAAACCCCCAAAGCTTCTTCGGTACCAGCATCACACTGTGGCGATAGTCTCTGGCAATACAAAAGCCTCCGATATCGTGCTTCCTCTACTTTCGATTCGATTTGGCAATTCCCCCGTCCTGATCCTCAGGCGCAGCGAAAACGCCTTCCACATCATCGGGCAGGGGTACATTCTGCCTGGATTTCGTGTCATAAACACTGGCAAACGAAAGCACAATCTCAGCCAGCTAACGTCCGCACAGAGGGACTCTGTGTTTCGGGCCAAGGTGCGCTTGAATATCGATGCGGGAGATGCCATGCGGCTTGCCGGTCAGGACGTGGTCGACGTGGAAGGATGTTTGTGGAGTATAGATGACAGAGTGAGAAACCTTGCGCAAGAACGCCCGCTGGGCACTGCCACGGTCAAAATCGTCGAGGAGAAGCAGCCCGAAAAGGAAGAAATGGGGGTACGCCTGCATCAGTGAGCTTCCCCGACTCCTTTCGCCTAGCCCCCAGATTTCCGCCGCTCCTCCTCGATGATCCTGTCCAGCTCCCTCAAAAACTCCGTTTCCTCCTCCGAGGACCACGGCACATTCTTGACCCACCCGGGCTTCTTGTATACCATGTACTTATCCAAATCCACGGCGTGCTCGTCTCTCCACGCAACGAGTTGCCTCCAATCTCGACACTGCCTGTTGACTCCAAAGTCTGGATACGGGATATGACTGTTCTCTCTCCACTGGTATGTCACCATTCCCGCGTCCGCTGTGCAGAGCAAGTGCTGCATTAGCATGCCGGTGCAGTGCTGCAGATGGATCGTCTCGACGACCGGCCAGGACGGCATGGCTGCGTTACCGGCGAACGCAGCCTTGCGGAGCATGTTGAGGCAGTGGACTTGGTGGAAGAAGTCAAGCGTGCCTACATACGCATCGTCGCCCATGTGCCAGATTTTGTCTTCGTACTTGGCGACGGTGGAGGGTTCTTTGCCCATAGCGAGGAGTTGTGCGCTTGTCAGGGATGTGGTGCGTATGTGCTCGAATTGGTCCCAGGCTTCTTCGGCAACAGGGTCGGAGGGCAGGTCGTGCCATACAGAGGATCCTTGGTACAGACTGCCATTGAGATGAGTGGTCTGGAGGCGAATGGCCGTGTCTTCGAAGACTGGGGTATATATCGATGTGACTCTAAGGGCGTCTTGAGTGTTGATCGTTGACTTGGGTCGCAATGATGCCATGAGCATACCGAGGGACAGCAAGAAGAGCACGACGTTGCAAAACGCTGAGATTGACCAGACTCCCAACGAACCTCGCTGCCAAGGTCTATCTCTTCGACGCTCTACCGCGTCTAGCAGTGCTTCGGTTGACTCGTGGTCTCGCTCGTGCTTGTCGAAATCCATCGTCATTGAAAGCGGCTATCTCTCGACTGTCGCAGTTCTTGGAGAGGTCCCAGAGATATCAGGAAAAAAGGCTTTCAGAGATGGAACTCACCAGATCACTGGTCTCAGCAAACGACTTCGCAAAAAGCACCCGGAATTCGTCGAGGCTTGTCCAGCCTGATCACCACATGAACCCGCACATGCAACTCTTGTGATAACACCATTTTAGTGGCCACGCACTACTACCTATGTAGCCAAGTGAGCGATCCTCCAGATGACAGACTCTATGCACCATCTCGACGACAAAGTCTACCGGGCACAATCCGCGAGGAATGACCGGCAACCATTGACTAGGCTATCAAACACGAGCCACGATCTGTTTTAGCCCTAGCAGGAGCAGACGCACATATCAGGAAGCTCTTTGCCCAGGCCTGGCCAATCAGAAAAATCGTTTCGGTGCAGGCTATGGGTTGTTGGATGCAGACGACCCATGCCACGTTACGTTGCAGTCGATGTCGTGACAGCATTGGGTTTCTGGCGTGACCGAAGAGACTCTCGGTTGCGTTGTCGTTCTAGGAAGGTGTGAGGAAGAGTTGGTGTTGGTCCGATACGCCAGGATGCAAGCCGGCCTTGTTAACAGTTCTTTAAGACCCCGAGCAGGCCAATTCATCGTACAGCTCTGCTTCCATCCACAACCTTGACCATACGTTTGACATAGCCAAGTCAGGATGCGTCTCACACAGACTCTCGTTGCAGCCATTCTGGCGACTGCAGTGACTGCAGCCCCTGTTGCTTCTCAAGGTAAACAAGAACGGATCTTGCTCTGCATTGGACCCCGTGGAATTTGTTATTAACAAGTGGGCATAGGCAAGAGAAACCCTATGTACGAGTCTCCGGACCTCAACTATGTCGCGACTGAGAAGAGGAACCCTATGTACGAATCTCCGGACCTCAACTACGTTGCAACCGACAAGAAGAGGATGTATGACTCGCCAGACCTTGACTACATTGCTAGCGAGAAGAGGGAGGCCTTAGCTTCAGGGGCTGTTATTGAGGCATGAGAGTAGTCGTCGCTCAACGGTTAAGATGGTGACGAAGGGCGATATCTTTGAGATTCATGAATGGAGACAGCGGATGTAGGAAGAAGCATACGGCTTGTAGTTTCCAAACGTACTCTTCATTCACTATAACTGCTCAACTGATAGTCTACCCCCGACGCCTCGCCAACAACGACTCCACTCATCAAACCCTCACAACTTCTCGTGCTAAAAGGAGAACAACTCGTCAGCAAACCTCGCATCAAAAAACACCATCTCAGCAACTCACCATACTCTTCCACTCCTTTCCCCCAGTATAATAATTCCCCTCATACTGCTTCACCCCCTCACCCCCATGGAACCAGCTGACACGATCCTATCAACCCCAAAAGTCGTCAGCCTCACCGCCCATACACAACCAGACCACCACCCCTCAAAAAAAAGAAAACCACCCCAACTCACCTTCGTAAACTGCTCCACACTCGGCCGCAACTTCCCCTCATGCAGCGCAAAATCATCCACCGTCCCCAACCTCAACACATACATGTCCGGAAACCCGCTCGAGATGCGATACATCAAAATCCCGCAGACGCTGCAGAAGTGGTTCTGCATCGTGTTGCCCGTCGCGATGGTGTTGTCCTGGGCGAATTTTGTGAGTTTTTCGCGGCCGCGGACGTGCGTGGTGGCGGACTGTTTGACGATGAAGTTGGTGCAGAAGGCGGATGCCGCTTTTGGAGAAGGGTTAGTTAGGGATGGGATGGGGAGGGAGGCATGGGGGTGAACGTACAGATTTTGCGGCAGTCGGTGCAGTTGCAGATGAAGGTTTCGACGAAGCCGTCGCCTTCGGTGGGCTGGTGGGGAGGACGTTAGACAGAGGTCTTGGATGTTTGGGAGTTTGGGGAAACGTACGAATCGCAATTGGACTGCACCGCAATAGCATGTTGCCGTTGCGGTTTCCGCAGACTCGCCCCCGGCGGCGCCTTCGGATGGGAGAGGGATCTTCGCAGACATGGTGTTTTCGAGATGATATTCTTGCTTCGAGTATTGCAGTAAAATCGACAGGATGATGAACGAAGAACTGCTCGATACACCGGAAATCCCGTCCCTTTTCAACTTCTCCAGCTCGCTGAGCACCCTCCCTCTCCCGGCCGAATGGAGCACGTACTGCCAGCACCTTATCCTCAGCTATGGAGTCTTGGAAGTCGCCTGGCTACCCTGAAAGAGTCTGGAAGCTGTGCCATGACGTGGAGAGGGTTCGAAGCTCGCTCTCGTATTTGAAATAATTGCCCTTTTCGTCGGGAGGCCTGAGGCAGGGTTGGAAATTCGCTGTGCCTATGGGGCTTGTAGGGGCGTTTGATTGGTCTTTGCGAGTGAGTTCCATTTGGTGTACCCATCAGCAGAGAGCGATGGAGAAGGGGATTGGAAATCATCTCGTCGACGAGGAGTGGGTTTAGATCGCTCTGTCGGCCGGGAAAAGTATTTCCAGTTCAAGACAATGGTACTGGAGGATGTCCGAGCAAAGAACGAAACATTCACTTACCTTCGAATATGTTAGTAGCGCCGTGACCTTGATGTCCTCGAATCACGTGACTCCATTCAAAGTTTGGCTTTGAACGTAGGACTTCAACAAATGAACATCGTTTCGGGGCTATCGAGTCTATGGCAGACAAAACAATCGACTATGGTGGTATCAGTGCCCAAAAGCATCGGTATTGGAAACATTGGCCAAACAATGAGGAAAAGCGTCTCCAGTCTGAGGAGTAGAGTATGTCAATCCCACCGCCCATTCATAGAACTCATCTGCTAGAGCGTCCAAGGGTGAATGTGATGACGATGACAGCACCCAGTATGACGATTGCGCCTGGCAAGAGCAACTCGTTCGGCACACCTTGAATGATCTGATCCTGAGCTTTCGCAGGTTGAGCTGCGGCTGCTCGTCGCTCTCTGCGGCGCTGGCTAGGTGAACCTTCATCTTCCTCGTCTTCCTCTTCGTCATCTTCGTATCGCTTTCGGTGTCGAACGTGGCTTTCTGGAGGAGTTGGGGGGATGATGGCTGGTTGAGGGTCTAGAGTCGAGGGAATCGCTGGCTTTTCCGGATCGTGCACAAACAAGTCAACCTTGTCTTTACGGGCCTGTCGAGCAATCATGATAGCCTCGAGCAGATCGTGGTCGGTAGTGATAGAGACAGTGTCGCCCTCGTTATCCAGATAGCTAAGAGCAAATCCTGTGTGACTGAGCTTGCCCTCACCGAAGGTGGGCACTCCTCCGATGCTATCGGCTTCGTGACCCAGCTTCTCGGCAACAACACCAATGAGCTCAGCGAGGCCAGCTGAAGCGACAACCTGTAGTCGGTGAACTCGGCCGCCCGGAGCCTTGAACTTGAAGGTGAATGGAGTATCCTCGACTGCACCAGCCAATGCAGACGCCTCATCCATATCGGGTTGGCCATTGTGCGAAGCCGAATCGGTGGGCAGAACACTGCCGCCTCTGTCCATACCAGGACGGTGTGACAGCTCAGGCGAGATCATACCGGACCTATCGGGCGTATGTGGCGCATGGCTGTGGCTTCCTTCGCCAGACATCATGGACTCTGTATCGCCATGATCCATGGACATCCAGAACTTGTTCCATGCTGGGCCTTCATTATCGCCAGTAGCCATACCATTGATCTGATCCAGCGTGGCGTAGGTTAGTTTCAGCACATCGACCATGCCAACTATTTCATCGCTCTCCTTATTCATGACAGGCAAGTTGAGGTAATGGCCATCATGCATCTTCCGCAGAGCCTGCTGGATGCTCATGTCCATTGGGGCGAAGTCGGGGTGTGGTGTCATTACACGGATAACACTGCAGGTACCGGGGTCCAGACCGGCCGCAATGACACGCAAAACAACATCTTTCGACGTGAAGATACCAGTGATCTGGCCTTGGTCTTGCACCAGCACGGCAGTGGTATGGTTCTCCTTCATCATTTGGGCGGCTTCCTTGACGCTTGTTCGAACAGACACGGTAGTTGGCGGAAGGCCGTTCAGGACTGACTCCAGCGTAGGACCAGACATGCGTTGTCGGACAGCTTCCACATACTGAATGATCTGCTGCGGTTGACTTGAGCCCAGCTCGGCCTGGACACCCTCCAAAGCGTCGTATAGCTTCTTCGACGAGCTGTAGGCACGCTCGAGCTTCTCCATTGCATCGTAGAAGCACTTTGTGATATCCAATATACCAGAGATATCGTGGTTCTCGTCCATAACTGGCAAATGTCTGAACCCCTTGCGGACCATAAGATCGAGGGCATCCGTGGCACTTGTGTCCGTCTTCGCACACAGTGGGTTCTTGGTCATGATCTCGGCAATGGTGACATTGTTCGCCTTCAACCCAGCTCCCACAACTCGAAATGCCAGATCTTTGGCTGTGAAGATACCCGCAATGCGCTCATCATCGTCTGTTACTAGGACGCAGTCTTCTCTCTTTGCAGCCATCAACTGGGCGGCCTCGGTGACCGTAGTGTTGGGCTTGATCTGAAGCGCTTGGTTCGGCTTGAGGGCGAGGACAGTGCCTGGGGGTGCCTTGCGGTTCTGGCGAGCCCTGCCAGCTCCACTGCGCTTCTTGTTGAGGTCTTTCTCGAGCTTCGTCCGGAGAGCCTGTGCACCAATCAATGGCTGATCTCACACTCCATACAAATCACAGCATACTTCATCGCGCTTGGAGGTCTTTGCCCTACTGGCACTGAGCGAGGTGTGTGCATCGCTCACGGTCGACTCCAGCTTGGGTCGAGGGATGCCAGAGCTCTCGGCGTACACGCTCTGGGGACGGGCACTCTTGGGAGTGCCACGCTGGGTGCCGGCCGACGACATGGCTGCGACGGTTGTTGATCCAAGACGAGGGTAATGTTGAAAGGCTCCAAGGAGGAGTGGGATTTGGTCAGGGACAGCAGTGGCCGCAACGGCTCGCACAGATCCCAAGTCCGAACCGTCAAAGCACAGCACCTCGAGTTCACGTGTTGTCAAGTAAACAGCGGGCTTGACTCCTAGGGTCGGCCAGACCTAACAAACTCTTAACCTACTCAACCTTAGCCAAGCGAATACTTACCTACCTTCTACTGCTCTTTCTCCGTTTCTTTTAGTCCTAATACCTTTATTCTTTCTACTAAAATACCTTAAAATACTATATATATCGTCTAGTATACTATTATTATACCTATGTCCTTTAAACTCGAAAACTAGCGTAACTAGATCGAAAAACGAATAGCTTAGTAAGTACCTTATAAGACGATTCGAGAGGACCTTAAAACAAGTACTAGTATAAGAGTAAGCCTAGCTACGATAGCTAGGTACCTAGCTAAGTAGAACGTTTATATAAACGCCTCTCGAAGTACTCGCGATATAGAGCTCCGAGTACGGGTAGCGTTTACCTTCTATGTCCTCCGGCTCGAAGACGTAAAAGCCTATAAAGTATTACGAGTAGAGGGGTTTAATATTAAGGAGTATACGTATACTCGTACTCGTAAAGAGCTTAGCTTATATAAAAGACTACTACTAGAGGCGTAGGAAGGCGCTAAAGCTAAGATTACGAGTATCTTAAAAGAGGAGTTAAAAGATACGATAGTTAAGTCGTATAGTAAGGGTAATCTATATACCTACCTCCGTTCTAAGTATAATATTATTAGTAGGGAGCGAGTATATAAAATCTCGAAACTATTAAACCTAGAAAGTATCGAGAATCGACTTAACCGAGTACGAGTATACCGCGGCGCTATTATTACTCCTAGCCCTAACTTCTCGTAGTCTATAGACGCCTACTATAAGTACGAGTTCGTAGAAATACAGATTTACGCCGCTATTAATATATTCTTACGCTATATTATATAGATATACGTAGGGATTATAGGGCGTTTAGTAGTATTAGTACTCGCTTAATACGTAGTAACGCTAGCTAACCTTAGCGTTATTCCTAAGAAGATTCGATCCGATCGTAGTACCGAGACTATAATAGCTATAGACGCTTACTATATAATAAGCTAGGTAGTACGAGGAC